ACTTGGGTCCCATTCGTGTGCCCGAAGCGTGATGTTACCTAATAGTCTCCTCAGCAGATGTCTAGTCCAACTCCATTTCCTTCAGCATATTTATTGGAAAACATTTTCTTGGTCGATTCGCTGCTGACATTGCTTGGTGCTTACACTACTTTCTGGCTGGCTGTCCAATCCTCAGTATCGAGTCAGTAAAGGCAACTGTTAATAAAGCTCTGCAGTAGTCTGTTGTGACACTGGCACCAATCCGGGGAACCATTAATGTTGAAGATAGGGACCATGTCCCTCATACTGAGTGCATTAGATTTTCATACCGATTTGAGAGTAATTAAAGCCTGTGTTACTTTGACATTCTCGTCCGTGCCATCTGTGGTTGGTAAAACGCCGTCTAGTTTACTAATTTACTAGTCAGTCTTAAACTCAGTCTGAATGTTTGGTGCCAACGATCAATGATTTCAGTCGCCTCAATAAATTTACAGCACAAAAAGAAATATATTAAAATGAAAACACTAGAAGTGATCAATTTTATCTATCGTTCTGAGCAGCAGCACTTTTAAGGCGTTCACTACAACGTGGCTGCTTCTGTGAACTGACTAAATATTTAGAATATACATGTCCTGGATTGGCTGACACACCAAGCGGTCTTATCTTCATTATTATTATTATTATTTCCTTTAATTCCTAGAGGAACATAGGGCTTCAGCCGTGCGTCTCCATTGCGTTCGGTTCTCTGCTAGAGTCTTCACCTGGCTCCAAGTCTGCCCACACACTTTCATCTCCTCTTCACATGACCTCCTCCAAGTCACCCTTGCACTGACGACCAACTCGCCACTTCCCTTTCGGGTTCCACTTGAGCAACGGATTGTCTAGTGATGTCACTTGATGGTTTCCTCAGAGTATGGCCAGCCAATCCATCTCCATTTCTTCCTGCCTATTTGTTTCACAACTGGTTCCTGGTTGGTTCGCTCATTGCCAGAGATCCCTGTTGCTGATCTTTCCTGGCCGGCCATCTGATATTGAGTAGTATTGAGCGAAGACAACTGTTAATGAAGGTCTGTAGTTTGTTTGAGATGCTCTTCATGACGCGCAGTGCAAGTCTCTGATCCGTATAGTAAGTGGCACTGACTGACTTCACATTGGAGTTGAAAATCCGGATCTTATTTTCATTTTTATGCTGAGGGCTGTTGACCTCCACACAGACTTGAGAGTAGTGAAAGCTTGTCTTGCTTTTCCGATTCTCGCTTTAATATCCTCGTCAGTTCCGCCTGTAGTTGAAACGATGCTTCCGAGGTAGGTAAAAGAGGTTGTTTCTTTCAGGTTCCTCCCATTTATGCTGATTGTTGTCTGTTGTTGTTTTTCTTGTCCAGGAATCTTCATCACCTCTGTTTTCTCTATGTTCACCTGAAGTCTAATCTTCTCTGGATGCTTTTTCTGCCAACTTGTTGCTTTCCCCTTGCATATCTTCCAGTTTGTGGGAAATCAGACATATATCATCGGCGAAGTCCAGATCCTCCAAGTTTTTGTGTGAGTCCATTTTATGCCTGTTTCTCCATTGCCCGCTGTTTGTCGCATTACCCAGTCTACTGCAATCAGGAAAATCATTGGCGATAGTAGGCAGCCAGCTTGTCTTACTCCTGTCCTCACTTCGAAGGATTCCGTAAGTTTCCCGTTGTGGATTACTTGGCATGCAGCATTGTCGTACAGCTGTTGGATGAGATGTATAATTGTCGGTGGCACCCCGTAGTAGCAAAGCAGTTGCCAAAGCACCTCTAGATCGACGCTGTCTGTTGAAGGCCTTTTCAAAGTCGATGAAGTTGAGATAGGGAGGTGAATGCCATTCTAGGCTTTGTTCAATGATGATTCGTAATGTGGCGATCTGATCAATCCATGACTTGTTCCTCCTGAATCCAGCCTGTTCCGGTCGAAGTTTTTCATCCAGGGCTTGTTTGATTCTCTCCAGGATGATGCGACTTAGTATTTTGCTTGGGATCGACAGGACCCACGTAAATATCTAAAGACATCAACTCCTCTAAACTTCAGAATTCATGCAAGTGTTTAACATCAACACAGGATAACGTCAGTTATGCCAATCGATAAAACAACGTAAATAATATCCACCTTCACAATGTGGACATTTAAAAGTGAAAAGTTCCTTTTAATGTATTTATTTTCAAAATACTTGATTATAGAAACTTAGTGAAGTAAACTCCACGGAAATACTAACAGCATTATTTGGAAACAAAGAAGGATGACAAATATGGTCCATAGTATTTATTATTCAGTACTAAAAGGTCTTGCACTGTGTTTAATATCAAACAAGCAAAGAAATATAAGACAGATGGTTAAAGACAGCCATCAGGAAACCCTAGACCTAGGTTTCAAGCTTCCTGGCACTCTTCAGCTAGACCTGTCGGCCAGTAATCATTTGACATCATTCTGGAGTACACTGCGATGGTGGGTCACTCATACTGATGCAAACCCTACTGACGACAGAATTCAGTCTGCAGCAGAATCAAGGACTAGAGGTATGACATTGATTGCTTCCTGATGACCAATCAATGTAAAGATATATATATATATATATGGGTCACGTGTACAGGCATATATTCTAGGCACAGGATCATATCTTCTCTGTTCCAAAAGAATATAAATCTGTAATTAATTAATTACTTAGGTAGCCATCATCATCATCATCTGCTTTTAAGAGTCATGAATTCACAGAATCATATGGTTATCTGAAACTTTTCACTTATTATTATAATTTTTTTTAAATTCACATCCATTTACCCTATTATTCAATTACAAAACAACAGAGTTGCAGCATGTCACGATATCACGTGTTTTGTTCTCTTCTAAAAAGAAAAAACTGAAGTATAAGGAGGAGTAAGAAAGAATGACAGAAAATGAGAGGAAAGATGACTTTGTTATCTCCCCGTTTTATCTACACTCAGTTAACGCAGACATGGATATGACTAGGGCATACTTAAAGGCAAATCATTAGTTGTAGATTCAAAGTTGCGCAATATATTGAAAAAAATGTTTAAAAAGTAAATTATTTGTCATGATAATGAGCATGAAAATACAAAAATGATGATATCACACAATAAATTAAGTTGATTAAAGTGTGTAGAAATGTTTTTCTATTACATTTTATCTTACAGCTTTGATTTTAACATGAAAGTGTTAATCAAGTATTGGTTTATAGGGATTTAATTGATTGGTTGCAGGATTTCATTATGAGCACCCACCGAGGTTCGAACCCAGAACCTCCAGGGTTGATGAAATTTGGCAACTAATCAATTAAATCCCTACAAGCCAATACTTGAATATCAATGAGATACTGACTATTGACTGGCTCTATTTAAGTGGGTAGCTACCTGTGGTTCTAGTGGGAAGTCGTGACCAGTAGGGTGCAGTAGGTCGGGTGTGAGGACAAATACTCGCCGAAGACATTGCCTAGCGGTAGTGCTATGTCGTCAGTTGGCAGAAGTTAGAATTCATGCACTGGCCACTGGATCGGGTCCCAGTGGCTTAATGGTCTACGAGCTCGCTAGCCTTGTAATCAGAAGGTCCAGGGTTCGAACCTCCATGGATGCGTACCTCTGAATAGTCCCAAGCTAGGCTGACGAGACAACTGTCCAGTACTCCCTGAAGGTTTTACAATGGTTCTCAAAACGATATTAGGTCATGGTGACTTCCTGCAACCAATAAATGTGTTAAAACCAAGAAAAGATAAGAAGCCGAATAATTAATCCTCCTCCGTATACAAATGCCTAGTTTCTTTATTTCAATAGCTAAAGCTTCACAAATACAGATGAAGGTGACTTGTACTGGTTTTCTCACAATATTTTTCGTCTTGTTGTTAACTTCAAAGGAAGAGGCCCTGGAGATATGATGACCTGTTTGTACAATGATATTCAATTATTGTGTTAATTATAGAACAACTTCAACCTCTTGCTAACCCCATTGTTTAACGACCAACATATCTAGCTGTATAAAGCAGGTGGATGGTATACATACAGAGAGTAAGGAAAGTTGTGGGATCTTACTCTTCAGGTTACTGGAAATTTAGAATATGCTGGAAAACCCTACTATCCGTCACTGATGCTGAAATGAAGATTGTTTTCAAAGAGTTTGTGGTCATTTTTTGTTCGGAATATAGGCACCTTTGAATTCGAGGTTCACAAATAGTGTTTTCTTGGATGTAGAAGATATGACACATTTATATTTTCATCTACGAGCGATCGTACAGCCAGCTGAAGACGACCGCAGACAACAAGATGAAATAGAGATGTGCTGTTGAAGCCCTATGTCCAACTCAGAACCCAAGGAAATAATGATAATAATCTATGGATGATATATTCAAGAGGAGAGGGATTACTACAGAACAAACTTACCCGGATATATATATATATATGTGAAGAGTTAGGCAAATCTGTGCATGTATATGAGAGTGAGGTAAATTAGAAAATATTCTTTCAACTAAGCGTGAATCGACACTGTATTAGCTTCAAAATGACCGCCATTTCCAACTTCAAACTTATCTTCATTCTTTGTGTTAAAAATGGAACATAAAGTTTCAAGTTTTGACGTTTCACTAACAACGGTGTGGTTCCATCACGTGGTGTGGCAATACTAGCCACACAGTCAACCTTCTATGTGGACCTACTACAGGTTAGTAAATTAGGGAAGGTTTTGGCATGCAGCTGTTGACCAGGAGTTAAACCTTTGCATCAAGTCTGGTTGGCAAGCGCATAACTACCGATACACATCTGCAAAGTTAGACCTAATTTATGAACTAAGATAGCACAAATTTACGCCATCGCAACCATTTTTCCATAAAGAGGTAAATCACAAACTGTATTTCGTTTACATCATTGAAGAACATTAGAATCACAACTGACTTATTGTAAAGTGTTCAGTAAATTCGATAATTTATATGTTCATTGAAACAGTTAACTTTCTAATGACAACTTTTTTTGTTTCATTTGTATTTTTTCATACAGAGGGAAAATTGGAAATATCTAAAGACGGTCGAAAATTACGAGTTTTAGATCGTCCAACAGTATTGGGTGAATTGGCTGTTTTGTATAACTGTACACGAACAGCAAGTGTTAAAGGTGAGTGAGTGAGTGGATGAGTAATTGGGTAAGTGTAACTTTTGATTTAACACTTACTATTTTCTCAGCAAACCAAAAGCAACATTAAACCTTTCACAGTGTAGTTTGTGCTTCAAGTTTGGCCAACTAACCCGTTAACAAAGGGTCAATTAAGTGGCAATTCTGATTAGATTCAATCTTTAGTCATGCGAAAGGTGCAAACAGAAAGATAAACTTGTAATTTAGCTGTTTTCTCTGAGCTGATTAATTTGATTGCGAAGCTTTCATTGTTCTTCTAGACAACATCTTCAGCACAATGATGAAAAAATATACAAACCTTACAGTGAAACTTTGATTTGGAAAAAGGAATTGATATTCTGATTTGTTCATCCTCTTTCCATGCTTTCTATATCGCTTAACAATAGAATTGATTTCACCTGTCTACAACTCACTCCTCCTCTTTGCTATTCAAGGACTTTTTTGTAGATATCACAAGCAGTAGTCTACTTAAAAATTCGTGTCAGTGGCAAAAGTATAAGAACGTTCATAACGTTCATATTCTTGTTGTGTGCTTACCTATCCTGTCAGAAACAGACTTTGGTTGCACCTGATCCCGAGAATGAGATTCTCTCAATGCTTCACCAACTGATTTAGAGACGAATATAGCACTAACGTCTGCCCAAGGATTGGGTATGAAAAGAGCCAGTGATGATCAAATCAAAATATGACAACAGTTAGTTTGAGCCACGTATGAAGATGTAGACTATCTGGTTGGGGTCTTCGGAATGCTAAAACCCAATGGCCGGAGATAATTGGTGATGTGGCTCAAAATCGTTCTCATTAGCCTGAGAACAGCTTTAAGACAAACAAAAATAAATCTAGTGTTAGGCTGAGTAACTAGATAATATATTCAGAATTCTATAGATGGTAACCAGTGAATACCTCTCCACCGTAACAGTAGACTTCTACCATTAACTTCATATATCTAGTGAACGTCAACCTGGTGCGATATACGTCTTTAAAGGATTTAGATAAAGTTTGAATCATACTGGGGAAATCACTTCCTTCAAGGGGGGTGCAGATACGTGAAACTACACACTACTGACTGATTGAGGTGATTAATTGTGTACCACTCACAACAACCAGTAGCGTCAGCTAGCCAGATAGAAGGAATCTAAACACCAGACGACCACTACTCTAGCTGACTCATCTATTCTAGAGGCCCACATAACAATAGGGACTGGTCCCAATAAAACTAATCAACTTGGAAATTCAATATGATAATTTCAGCAAAAACCAACAACTAACACCCATAGTACAGAAGATAGAACAGAAGATGGTTCTCGTGGCCAAGTAGACTTGGTGTTTGAAGTGATGTACAGTGAGAACGCCACCACTCAATGATATGTAGTATATCAGATCGAAGAGTTCAAAATAGAACAAAATACTCATTCTGGATTCCAATACTAGCCACTGTCAACTGAAGAGAAATTCCGGGGACGAAGTTTCAGTGCGTGCGCATCATTATTTCAGACAATGAAATTTCGAAGTCTTCCAAAAAAGACAACCTCTATGCTTTGAGTCAATTTCAAAATGATAATAAAGATCTTTCGACAAAGAGTATAGCATCACTGTTACTATGGTAGATTCAACACTGAGATTTACTATGGCTGTCGTTGGGCTTTTATTTATCAGTTTGTAGACTTGTTTATTTAACTCAATTCCTAACTGAAATGACTATCAGAAAACTAGACATGAAATACTGAATATCGCTGACCATCGAAAGTCCAGTAATCCTCCAGCATTCATTTAGATAACCAGTGGATGAACAATGGGAAATCATACACAGAATTAGATCATTCTAAAATTGTTACACACATAGTATTAAAGAGCATGAACTTAGGATCATCACATGCGTGATTATAAATAGGATTGTGATGTTTATTTGGCTTTTTCTTGGCAGTATAAGACTTGACACCATTTACACTAGAAATGATAAACATTGTCCCCAACCTCCAAACTTCGAACACCCCCGTCCCCCGCAAATAGCCATCATTTATAGAAACTCTGTATCATACACAAAGTTTCGGTAAATTATTGACATTGTATCCGATATATCTTTGATTATTATTATTATTATTTATGCTTTCTACATATATATATGCATAAATATTAGACACCTATAGTCGACAATATCTATTATTAATAATACGACTGTCATGATTAATATTATGGGCATTGTAGAATATTGTGATGACAGATCACGTGTGTACTTTTAACGCATTATTTACATAATAAAATACAATATCATCCTACATATTGACTAAGATGCATCCAAAAACAAAAAGAAAAAATAGAAAGTCTGATTTTGTGGCAATATGATAATTAGTTCCAGTCTAGTGAGAATTACAAGTGTCCCCCTGTCCCTCTAAAAAAGGAATTGTGTATTCGAAAACGTCAACAAACAGTTTCAATACATGTATGATGTTGACGAAAATTCATAAGGATTATGTCAACTACATTAATAGTAATATTAATAATAATAATATTGATAATAATGTTTTCGGACATTTCAGAATAATGTAGGACAAAACCACCAGTAATTAGCATTTAGTATATATTTATATACATATATATATATATATATACATATAATAAATATTATTGTCAATTGTATTATAAATTCTGTTCACTACGGGAAGGGAGGGGTGACGACCTATGGGAAGATATGTCGTAACTGTCAATTAATTACATTCAATCTTCATAAAAGGATGAAATAAATATAACTCATTCCACTTGATTTGAAGTACTTTTATGGTGTTTTCATCAGTGCTGCATTGTTGATTATTTCAAGAAAATATCTTGGTTAAAAGACGAAGCGTCATTTCAACTGCAGGTGGAACTGACGAGGATATCAAAGCAAGAATCGATCGGAAAAGCAAGACAAGCTTTCACTACTCTCAAGTCTGTGTGGAGGTCAACAGCACTCAGCATCAAAAAATAAGATCCGGATTTTCAACTCCAATGTGAAAGTCAGTCAGTGCCACTTACTATACGGATCAGAGACTTGGCCAGCGCGTCATAAAGAGCACTTCAAAGAAACTACAGACCTTCATCAACAGTTGTCTTCGCTCAATACTACTCAATATCAGATGGCCGGCCAGGAAAGATCAGCAACAGGGATCTCTGGCAATGAGCGAAACAACCAGGAACCGACTGTGAAACAAATAGGCAGGAAGAAATGGAGATGGATTGGCCATACTCTGAGGAAACCATCAAGTGACATCACTAGACAAGCCATTGCTCGAGTGGAACCTGAAAGGGAAGCGGCGGCGAGCTGGTCGTCAGTGCAAGGGTGACTTGGAGGAGGTCATGTGAAGAGGAGGTGAAAACGTGTGGGCAGACTTGGAGCCAAGTGAAGACTCTAGCAGAGAACGGAACTCAATGGAGACGTTCGGCTGAAGCCCTATGTTCCTCTAGGAATTAAATGAAAGAATAATAATAATACAAAAGATGTAGGTTTTGCCCATCAGGCAGTTTCTCCCATCCTCCTTTACGTCAAAGTGATATAGTAACTGAATATTGAGGATATGAAACAATGAGCTGAATTTGACCAGAAGTTTTTCGAGCTTGAGTATGAACTGATATAGGTTAAAGAACCTCTGGGAACCAAGGAGTGGGTATTGGATAGCTGTTTCGTCCTAGTTTGAGACTTATAGCGAGGACACACCCACCATCCGGGTTCGAACTCAGGACCTTCTGGTTACAAGTTAAAGAGGTAAACTATTCAACTATCTGAACCTAACTCAATGACCAGCCCATGAATTCTAACTTCTATCAATTATTGATTTAGGGCGTCCACCAGCTAGTGTTACTGTCGAGTATTTGTCTTCACTTCCAACGGGATGGACGTAAACTAGGACGAAAAAGTTGGCTGTCGAGTAGTACCTGGGGTTTTTGATGGTTCTTTAACTGATATCAATCTGTGGTCAAATCCCTGCAAACTGACTCTTGAAAAGGAGTGTTTCAGTTTAACCTCTTTGTGCTAGGTAGAGCAATGCGGTCATTATTAAGGAGTCAAGACATAGTGAGAAGATATTCAATCGATGGGTTTATGAAGCTGGATTGATTAGGAATCGCCTTACTGGAAAAGTAATATTTTAGTTCCTGTAGAGAGTGAGTTATGGTTGGTCTTTAACTGTTTGTATGACAAATGGAGGGATTTGTGGACTACCCGGTTGGTGACTGTTGATGAAATGGCACGAAATCTTTCATTATAGATAATATGTATTCAATCCTTCTGATCCTCGGGATAATGAAAGTCACCAGCGATCTTCATCGAAATACTACAGCCGCCTATTTCTCTCTCCTTTACCTCTTTGTCAATTGTACTTTCGTCTTTTCGTCATCCTTGCTTACTGATACTCTTTTGCACAGTGCTCTACATGCATAAAATTATTCTGCGACTGTGAATGAAAGTAGGGGTCGACTGCTAAATTCTTTTGAAGAAAATGTCACTCAGTACACATCACATTCTCTTAACCTCGAGCAGGGGGAATATCCAACAAGAAAGAATACAAACAAAAAATCGTCCGGAAGGAAGTTTCCATAAGTTGTGAAATAATACCGAGTTGCTAAGATCAATAGAATTACAGTTCAAAATTATGTGTGGGTGATAAGAGGCATAAAAGTAAAATACTCAATTTAATATTGGATAAAAACTAGGGAAGAAAATTAGCGCGACAATTGTTTGTCTGTCTGGGTTCAACATAGAACTTGGCGCCGAAGTGCAGTAGTTCGAGTTGCCACGTTCCAAATAGCACACAAAGGTAGACAGGAAGATAAGCGAAGAGAATCAATAGAGTTTTGACAAGAATAAGAGTGAAACAGAATGAGTAATGGTAGAAAGGGATGTGAAAGATTACAGAGACTGAATACATCTACGTAAGCCATTGACAACGATTTTGAGCCATGTCACCTGTTGTCTCTAGCCATTGATTCTTAGAGTCCCGAGGGCCCCAACTCGGGAGTCTGCATCTCCCTATCTGACTCAGTTTAACTGTTAGGGATTTCATGGATTGATGAGGCCATGTTTTCGTTTGGCCACCACTTACTCTTTTCCAACCTGCACCTATATCAGCTAGTAATGGCCGTTGGGCGAGGTGATGGTTAGGCATGCGCAGCACGTGACCTAATTATACCACCTAACTTGAGAAAGAGATCGTAGACATCTATGATCGAAAACAGTCAACCTTTTCATGTCTTCAACTCGTATTGGCCATGTTTCAGAGCCATAGAGAAGGACGGAGCGAACTGCTGAGCAGTACACACGTCCCTTGGTTGATAGCCGGATGTCACGCCTACGCCAGAGATGGTGTAAGTTAGCGAAAGCTGCTCGAGCTTTTTGGACCCGTGCTGAGATTTCGTCGCCAATCAGTCCGTTGGTGCTGATACAACTTTCCAAATAGGTGAAGTGGTCAACATGTTCTATCACTTCACTCCCTATCACTAAGCTAGTAGTTGACGTAGTCCAGTCCTGTAGCAGCATCTTGCATTTTACAGGGACGAATCGCATACCAAACATACGAAGATTGCTGCTCAAGGTGTTCAGAAGACTCTGCATTTTGTCAGCGACTATGTCGTCTGCATATTCCAAGTCCATAAGACTATTCCCTGGTAACAAGTCGATTCCTAAGTCGTTAAGTTCAGTTAAGGATACTTCCATTAGCATATCTATGATGAAGTTAAACAGAAATGGGGAAAGTGGACATCCCTGACGGACACCACTGGTTGTTATCAATTCAGATGACAATTCCCCATAAACCCTTACACAGCTACGTGAGTTTGAGTAGAGTGCCTTGATTAGTGCAATGTACCTTCTTGGCACTCCCTTCACAGTCAAACATTGCCATAGTACCTCTCGATCCACGGAGTCGAAGGCCGCCTTCAAGTCAAGAAATATGGCAATTGTTGGACGCCTAAAAGTGTGTCTATGTTCTAGGATCTGTCGGAGAGTGAAGATATAATCTATGCACCCTCTACCTGGCCTAAAGCCTGCTTGATTTTCCCTCGTTTGTTCCTCCCGAATTCTGCTTAGTCTGTGCATGATTACTGAGCCTAGGATTTTAGAGACTATGTTCGTTAGGCTGATTCCTCTATGATTATCACATGAGGACTTGTCTCCCTTCTTGAATATCGGTATAATAAGTGACTTACCCCAATCTGATGGAGCCGTCTCTAATTCCCAGACGTTACCTAGTACCTTAGTTAAACTATATACTAGTATGTCACCCCCATATTTAAACACCTCCAGAATAATTCCGTCGGGTCCTGCCGCTTTGCCTCATTTCAAATTACAGATAGTTTTTGTGACCTCACTTACAGACGGCAGACCAGTGTCTATATTCCATTCGGGTGTGTGCTGGATGGCGGGGAAGTTCATTGTGGCTGTAGGCAAGTTTAATTGGTCCTCAAAGTGTTCTTTCTAGCGTTCAAGGCGTAACAACTGACGATAGTTGAAATAAAAATAATAACTTACAAAAGATTTAGGTAGAGGAGGGGAAATGATCAGATCATTTTGCCTCCAGGAAATGATGACCAATGAAAGAAAAGTGTCTGTACGAACTTCTTCTGAATACACAAGTCTGACTTCTTCAGATGGGTACAGATCTAGATGTATCACAAACAGCGTATAACGTAGATTACAAGTTGAAATCAGTTAGAGAATCACTGAAAACCAGAGATTATTGCGTAGCCATTTTGTCCTAGTTGGGGACTGACTCTTCAACAGTACGCACCTATGACCCTGCCATGAGTCGAACTCAGGACCTTTGGACTACGAGACAAGCTCATTGGGACGGTATCTTAAATTCTATCATTTTGTGATACGTGGCCCCACCTCCAGAAAATGTCACCAGTGAGTCTTTGTGGTCACATCTAACCTAGTGGACGCCAATGGCTACAACTTCAGGGGTTCTTTAGCTGATGTTATCAAGTGATCTAACCAGGGGTTTGAATCCCGAGAAACCAATACCTAAAAATAGCATTCATTGAGGAAGAATAACTAGATTTATTGAGATATCAAAATCATTCTATAAAATTTTATTTCTTATTTATAACTCCATGCTTTAATTATTAGTTGGAATATTGACTGTTAGAATTCACGGAATATACACAATGGATTATAGGAATTATTAAAAAGACGGTTGCAGAGATGAAAGTTTTCTTTTTGACGAAGTCATCAACTGGACAGCTGTACATTCGTGTATTTATGATAAATGAGTGGGAAATTTCCAGAATAGTTTCCGGTCAAGGGTCAAATTAATAAAACTACAATTAGGAATTAAAATGACATCATAATTACTGAGAAGATTGACATTGTGCAATTAGGGGTTAGAAATGCAGGAATAACAACAACAGACAGGATGTTTGGATAAAAAAATCCAGTGGGATCATAACTAGTGTGACGAATAATTGTTCACGCAATCAGGGATTAAATACGTAGAAATAAAAAAATGGCAAAATAGATAGGAAGTTTAGATATGAAAATTTGGTAGTGTAAATAGGGATTAAGAAAAACTTAAAAATAACATAAATAAACAGGAAGTTTGGATAAGAAAGACGATGGGATAGTCACTATTATTAGAATCGCCTGTTTAATGATGGCCATGGCAGGGACAAGGGTTGGGCGTATTTCTTTTGGATACATAGCGTGAGTTTGAGCTTTTGGATAGCTAGTGTCTCGGCTATGCCCAGATGTCTTAATTTCACTCCCTTTTAATAGGTTTGATGGAATCTGTTAGAATTTACTCATAAACACGAAGACTGAGAGAATTAATTCACTAGTAGATTACAAAACATTAGCTTATTAAAAAATAAAATAGGGGACATGAAAATAAAGTCAAAGTTTCTACAGGACCACTGACTTACATTACTTAAACGTGTCTCCTTGGAACTAATCAGCAGCTTGCAGTGTAGTATCAGGAAATATAAGGGTGAAAAGGTTAGTTAAGTTTAATTATTAATGAACAAAGACTATTGGAATCCCTTGAAAACGCTTAGAAAGTCATTTACGCAGATTTACTAGTCGCAGTGTCTAGATTGAGACAAAAAATATGCGACGTATAGATAGAACTCTAATCATCACGTCTACAAAAAGATTTATATCTAAGTAGAGGAGTTACTGTTAGGGAAATTCAAGGATATCATAAGCAACTGAAATAATCTAGGGGCTAAAACGGGGGACACTCTTTCTTTATATCTCAAAGGTTCTGAGGTCATTCTCAAGTGGAGCTGTGGTCTTATTTTGATAAAATGTCCCAAAGTAGGATACAACAGCCATCCAGTTACTTCTAGCTTTTAGGCGTTGCCTAACCAGTAGGAATTCCTGTCAGAACATTAATAAAAACAAGACAAGTAGTTCAGTGAAGTGCCTCTTTCCGGCGAATTTATTTTTTTTAGCTGTACAATAGCATTTACATAAAATGTTTTATCTGAGAATGGATAGTGAGGAAGGGACGAATCGTCGTAAAAATAGTTGCTAATATTAATGAACACATATTAGAAGCTGAATGAGCCTTATAGAATTACGTAATCAAATAAATCATTTTACAACTGAGTTGCAACTGGGGTAAACATAGAAACAAAAGAAATCTTATGTTATTTAAGAGTATGGGAGGAAAGAATAGCCAGAAAAGGTCAGAGAAATAAAAACATGTCGAGTGCTTAGGTTGAAAGTAATACGGTCTTTACCATGATAATACGAGTGGATGAAAGACTTCCTTTGGTATGCACAGCTCCTGTTTCCCCATCTGGATAGGTAGAGCTTCAGCAGTGGTAGGGAAACGAAAGCTGCTTGTCTTAGGAAGGTTACTTTTCACCTTATAAATCACCTTCAAGGAGAAGTTAGTTTTTGAGATAAAGTGACCAGTATCTACAAGATTCTCAATTATCGCACTACTTTTAGGGATGCTACTACCGTTTCAGACAGGATCCACGTCAAATGATGAGTATACCTGACTCCACAGCAACAGAAGAAATGATATATTCACAGAGAAGTGGTCAAATGTGAGCTCTTGATCTTTGGCTTTCTTCAGCCCAGTGGGCGACTGGTGAACACTACTCTTACAGCTGACAGTAGTTGTCTCGTTTTTTATCACTATGATTTCCGTGTGAAATATCCTACGAAATTTCAATTTTAACTCTTTAAAGTACCATATTGTACTTTTTATTGCTCTTTTACAATGTTTATTCAGCTCTTACTAATGGGACACTGTGGGCAATTGACAGAGCATCCTTTCAAACTATTCTGATGAGAAATCATTTACAAAAGCGTAATGATTATACGACATTTCTTAAAAGGTTAGTTTATATTATCTTGACGAAAAAAGAAAGCGTATCAATCACAGTTTCAATGGTATGTTTGTTTAAAGCAATCAGTTGCCAAGGGTAACGGCAGAACACAATGGTATTTGACAGCAATATTGTTTATTTAGTGAAAAATAAAAAATAAACTCATTGAAATTTTGCTTTGTAAAACCTATTTATGTTCATTTCATTATGCTTTCTGTCTGTTGCTACGTGATGGTCCTCATTACCCCTGTTTACAAGAATTCGACTCAAGCATTTCGCTTATATGTTTTGCGAATCAAAATTTTCTAGATGTTTCAAGCATCCTTTTAGCAACCAATGGAAGAACCATTCTCATACAGTAAAATAAATCGTTCTTATAAAGGTGAATGTCACTGAAATATAAACAGGAGCATTAAAATCATAAAGGTGATGTTAACTGTCTGTAAAACTCTTCAACTGTCAACCTTAACTTTTAAATTTGAATCTCCTTCATGACGTTATCTTCGTATCAAAATTTGATTATAGTCTTTCATAGGGTAAATCTAATATCTCAGAGTTTGTAATACCGCCAAATATATTCAAAGTACAATAAAGAGTAATCATATAACATTAGAAACATTCTTTCTTGACATAACACCAAAACTTGGACAGTCAGGCAGAGTATAACTAAGTATCATTTTGTATATTTGGTAAAGCTTAAAGATGATAGGGTATTATTTGTTGGGAAACGTTTCCCGTATAATTTGTTTGCCCAAATACTCAGTTATGTAACGAACAAAACCAACTCGTTGTGTTCTGAACGCAGATAACTGACCTCCATGGCCTACTCTATAACTGACAATACCTCCTTGAGATACGCACAGTGATCTAAATGGTTTTCAACAGTGCCGTTAGGCAGCTTTACAAACATGGTGACTTTCTAATTATAAAGCAAGTACCTTAGAATTAAGGGAAATATTCTCAACAAGGTAAGATCAAAACTCTGTTGGCAAGAATCACACACCAACAACTCCCTTAAACAGTCCAAACTTCGAATCACCTTGATACACTCAAACGTCGCAGAACAATACAGTATCAGTTTATCACCCAACCACAGGAGAGAAACATTAAAACTGGAGATTAAACTGGAACAAAGACAGACAATGAGGAACAGGTCGACATGTGATATGCAAATATCAGAACAATGATATAGATTTAATTCAATTTTTAGATTTTCCCGTGGATTGATTTTTACCTAAGTACTCGGTCTCAGGTTGAGATGGCGGCTCCTTGTGCAGATGCTTCGACGACGTCTGGTCATGTAACTTGAAGTTAGTTGGTGGATGGTGACTAGCGGAGATGGCTGTCGTGGCCTAATTGGTCTAGTGGGTAACGCTTTGGCGTTTGAAATTATGGACACTGGGTTTGAACCTCAGTGGGAACACCATCACTCACTGGAAGATGCAGATACATCCAGATGGCCGGCTCCAAATAGGACGAAACACACATCCTGGAATCCACCCCTAGTCACCATCTACCAACTGACTTCAGTGATATACAGTCTAGGAGAAAAATGGAAAATAATTATAAAGTTACTTGAAACATCTAAATAAGTATGAATATTGCGATTAGCTAGTTCAAGAGAGATTTTCCAAACAATTATTCCGTTGCACAAGATGCTCAAGAAGTGAGTTATCAGTTGCTCTAATTTCTTTATTTTGTCAACCAGACAGTACTGCACTGGTATAGCTTATGTGCTTAGCTGCACTAGCACAAGAGGACAGATATATGCACATACATATTTCCAGCGGTGGAACTCTGCCTTTGGTATTTCAATGAAAAAGAGGTTACACGGAATAGGTCAAACATATGGAAGCAGCAAAGAATGTTTCTTCAAACATCTCCCAATAGTCAGATTCGTAGAATTTCAGCTGTTGAGTCACCTTGGAATCTCAGATTTAGAAGTGACTTTCCCTCTAGTGCTTCCAAGTGATTCAGAAAGACCCGGGTTCTGTATTTAATGCTTCTTCTTCCATGCATATGAGAGAGATTCTTGGAAGAAGATATTTGTGGAGGTTTCTTCTTCTAACTATTGGAACAACGGTGTAAAAGTCAGTCAGCTACCTGTACCATTTTCCTTTGTGGTGAAGTGATGTCTGGATTAATAGTAGGTCCTCCTCAGAAGCTGGATAATTAAGAAAGTGGGGTCCTCCTCAGCTCCTTCCTTGTTTTGCCTGATTGTAGGTAGAAGGAATTTTCATCCTGCCACAAACCTAGTTTTTTTTTTTTTAAAACCTACCTGACCGATGCGACATCTGATATTCGGAAAATAAGATATTTAAGAACCAGTAAATAACGCTGTAACGTCGTATGTCTCATCAAATAAACAAATTAGTCAATGTGGAGTGGCACACTTGATTGTCTTCCATTTTATCATGATCACTATACCGTGGATAACCACTACGTCTTTCCAGCTCAAGTTGGATATTATTCCCGAAATAATCTCTACTCCTCAATGGTACGAATGAAGGCAATTTTATTCTGGTGGATAACGACTGGCGATGGAATCCAGGATGTGGATTTCTACCTCTTTAGGGCTCGTCAACTGGATGCACTTTCAGTCTTCAGTGAGCGATTGTGTTCCCACTGAGACTCGAATTCACCTCCCATCGTTTCAAACGTAAAAGCGTCTTCCACCACGCTAACACATCACTAGATTCGGAACACTTCCTTTCAATATAACCAATCAACCGTGAATTCGAAAATTAACTTAAAAATAAGTAATATCAAACTAAGTTGATTATATTATTTCTTTTTTTGATCATTTTTTGTTTAGTGTCCCAATATTCAGTGGTCTACCAGATGGTACAATATCAAAACTGGCTGATCAATTGAATGAAATCACTTATCGTCCAAATGAATATATTATACGTCAAGGTGCTCGAGGCGATAACTTCTACATCATAGCTGATGGTCATGTAAAAGTGACAATATATCCTACATTGGAAAATGGTACAATTGATCGATCAAATGAACCACAATTTGTTCGTACCCTGGGAAGAGGTGAATGGTTCGGAGAGAAAGCATTAGCTGGGTAATGTTCATTTAATAAAAACAGTGTTCTGTTATAAATTGGGTATTTTTTTTCAATTACAAGAATGTACTTCTTATTAATCAATTAGTTCTCACTTAAAAATGTCACAGTATACAATGTGGAAACTGTTACAAAAGTTGTATAATCAGGTGCTCATACTTATTCGCTTCAAAAGTAGGCCACAACTATCAAGAAGGAGGCTGATCATACTATGTGACGGCGTAAATGCCTACATGCAGAGTGGTACTCATACATATGAGTTAAAAAGTGAGCTTTTAGGCAAATAACTAACGAATTGGCGGAAATTCTAACTTGTAAGCCATTGGATTTGACCCTAGTAGCTGAGTGATAGTTCGTTGGTTTCGTAGCCTGAAGGTCATGTATCTTTATAACTGGTTGAAAATAATGTGGTCGCCCTACTGACGAGTCCCGAAGTAGGCCGAAATGAATCTCTAATTCTCTAAATAATGTCAATTGGTGATAAGCTTGGACTTCAAATCGCAAATACTTTGTCATATGACTTATCAATTTTTGTTTTCATGATAGAACAAATTTCAACTGTACTTTTCTTTTAGGTTAATTGGCACTTTCCGTTGATTGATATATAATAATTAGCCAGTACTGAAACTGTCGGTCTTTGCTGAAATGAACGTTTCAACGAGATCTAAGGATTAACGGATCATTTTGGGTCATAGTTACTAGCTGTACAATCCGAGCATATCGATACAAATCAACCGACTGGGCTCTGGTGGTCTATTGGAAAAACCTTAAGAGCTTGAATATATGGGCTCGCTTTCTTGGTTGGAACACCATCAGTAACTTGTAGTGCAGATGAATCCAGATGACGAGTCCTAAGTTGAACTGAACGCTCTTCCTGGATTTGAATGCCAGTCACCGTCAGTCAAAATAATTTCAGCTGCGGTTAAGTAGAGTAGAGTAGAACTGCAATTGCTAATGTTTATAAACTGATGCATAAAAGATATTTATATAGAATTACTGATTATTATGAGTTACAAATAAAAGAAAAATTCAAGTATTGGTTTTTAGGGATTTGACTGGTTACAGGATTTTCATCATGAGCTGACACTGGTTAGAGAACCATTGGAAAACCTGCCAGGGAGTACTGGACAGCTGTTTCTTCAGTTTAGTTTGGGACTCTTCATCGGTACGCACCCACCGGGGTTCGAACCCAGGACCTTCTGGTTAAAAGGCTAGCGAGCCCGTGGATCACTGAGACACTGGAACCCGATCCAATGGCCAGCCCATGAATTTCAACTTCTGTCAATTCACGACATAGCGCGACCCCTAGCCAATGTCTTCGGCGAGTATTATTTATTTTCGGACTACTCTCTAGAGAGTAATCCACATTAATTTAGATGTCACCTTCCGCATAATTTTATGATTATTTCATTAGGTTCCAAGGAGGATAAAGGGCTTCCATAACACATATCCACTTCACTCTGTTCTCGACAGTCTCTTTCCGTCGGCGCTCCACGATTGCCCATAAGCTTTCAACCCCTCCTTACACGATCTTCTCTACATCAGCTAAGTATCCACACAACCAACCCATCGTTTCTCATTCACGTTCCACGCAAGGGTTTGGCTTGCAGTGTCATTCAATGATCTTCTCAACGTATGTTTAATCCATCTCCGTTTCCTTCTGACGATTTGTTCAACAATAATTTCTCGGTTGGTTTGCCACCAGCTGGAGTTCTTTGTCGCTCATCCTTCCCGACCAGCCATTTGATCTTTAGTATTGAGACGATGAAAGTTCTCATCATCAAGTTCTTTTGTAATAACTATCCCTAAGTTCACGATCTCACAACTCACTAACCTACAGGTAAATCAAGACTTCTATACTGAATGGAACACGCATTCTATGTGTCGCTGTTAACTATCGATTAACGTGTAGCATCACTCTCTACTGTTCACTGAAAAACTGTTAATTCTTTAGTATAGAGTTTTCGGTACAACAGTTCAGTATACGCCGTCTAGCAGCTTGATTCTTAGTCCAAACATACTTGACATTCTCTGCTGTGGAAAACCATTTCATACTTTCAGATAATTCTTTGCCGCCTTGATCAGTAGTATAGTTGTTTGATGTCTTTTCTCTTACTAGTTGTTTAAAGTGTTGACAGATCGACTGACTGACTGACTAAATTAGAAACCTAAGTACTGACTGACAGTTTTATGTCTTTTTCCACTGAGTAAGGCTCATTTCATTTGTAACTACATAGAAGACAAGGGCCACGCAACAGATCGTCGTCTATTGAGAAAATCAACAGACACTTATAGATTTTTATGTACATTATTATTCGCGTTATTGTTAACCGAGAAGCAACCTCGTCTGATTGGTTGTTTCCCTGGTGAAGGTTATTCTGTCATCCCTTTGTTGCTGTTTCTTAGACAGTCCATGATATATCTGCCAATCGTATCCACCCATCCTTAGTCTGCTGTGATTGGTTGTTGAGTTCCCCCTCAAGGTTAAGCTTTGTTATTGTTTTATCTCATGACCGCGATTCGGGACGTAAACACTGACGTAAATTGATGTTTACAACTTTGGCTAGCAGACAGCTCTCACCACACGTTAGCCTGCACCAAATAACCAACTTATAAAACTGATTTATTTCTTCAAGTTAATTCTTATCGGGTGTCTGATCTGAGATGCGTGAATTGTACGATGTCTCTCCATGATAAAAGTTATTAAATCTCTTAGGGTTCGAGGGTATGAGTTTATCACAAACTAACATTGACTAGAGAATCCTTGGGAAGAATGCAGAACTAGGAACCTGTTTCATTATAATTTGAGACTGTTTTGAATTGTGCATTTTTGCCCAACTAGGGGTCGAATCCAAGGATTTTAAGTTACAAAGTAAGCTTGTTGACTATCTATTTATTGGACTGGAAATCAACTACTTATGAAAGCAAAATTATGCCATTTTGTGATACAGAGCCACACCAAGCCAATGCTATCATTGAGTGTTTCCTCCACACCCAAAAATGGTGAACCCCACCGGCCACGACTTCTCATTCATTAGCATGCTGAGTGTGAAACGGATGTTCATTGATGGTAAGGGTTAGCACTGGAACTATACCGAGAATGAGTAAAGTTTAGAGCTCCTAAGTAGTTGGTTTCCAAACCAGTAACTGTATGGCAATGTACTCGCTTAGTGATCTAAATGTCCTTGACTTGATCATGGAGCGAACTGTTGAAAGAAGGCCTATATTGCTGTCCAGCGCTCAAGGTTCTCGAGAATCGTCTAATTAGTGTTGGTTCCTGATGAAATCCAGGCCGCAATTAATCGAAGCTTGTTGGATAGTGACTAGCAGTGGTATCTAAGACATGCACTTCGTCCTATTTAGGACTCTTCAGGTGAATGTGTCTTTACACCCAGTAACTGCTGGTGTCCCTACTGGGTTTCTAGCCCTGTACCCAACATTCCAAGCAACAAAGAGCTGCCGACTACTTGGCCGCTTAATATGGAGGCTTCAACAATTTATGAGGTGAATCCAGCTAACTAGCCGCAACCAGTTTTCTCTGCTAGTCTTCATCTATCAAATAACATCATGTTAACGCTTAGACATCGTCATAGCGTCCGTACTGGAAGTCAGTATATCAACACAGATGAAGAATTTCAGTCCTACATAATCGATCAACAGAAAATACAAAATTGACTCATTAAAATTTTCAAAAGAATGGTTACTGAACAAAGGATACTCTTTTCGATAACCTGCTCTTCATCACTCTCTACGGTTATTTATACATACATAATAGTGAATCAATGAATTAGTGTTATGAACAACATTAATGTTGTTTTAAGAACATCGAATCAATAATAAAAATATCAATAGATTACAGTTCGATAGCATCAACATAACAATGTACGCTGAATATCAGAAAAATTGGGAAAGATAATAATACAGATTTCACGAATTTATGGTCTCCACTGAAGGCCGACCATGGCAAAAGTAGTAGTGACTAGCTGAACTTGCTTCTTTTGAACACACAGCACTGGTTGTTTCCCAAGAATTGTGATAGCCTCTACTGTTTGGAGCATGCGGTACTTCGATGTTTTTGGCAATTTATTTGGCACCCGGTAGATGATAGAGAAGGATTCTTCAATACTGGCTTTGTGGCCGGCCGGTTTGGACCAGATGGTCCAGCATCGAACTGTTGATGGTTTTTACTACACCTTTACTTAGCCATACTGAGGGATTTTCTCGAGCATGAGAAATCAAGTTCCTAGAGCAACGGCCGATAAAACTCACTCCACCAGAAGCACTGTTGAATCGGTAGATACAATTAGAAGTGGCTAGTGTAGGTGCTTCACCTTTCAGTTGAGGAATCACCATCGGTCGTCTAGAGAATAAGACGTATAATTTGACAGCATTAAAAGTTCTTTGAACTGATTTTCTTAACCTCCTCGTAATTATTTCGCTTGGTATATCACCACTGAGCTGTAGTCGTATGCATAAAGGCTTCTTGTTTACGGATAGTGAGTAGTCCTTTTCCGCAATCTTTGTCATGTATTCCTTCATAAATTTGTTGGAATAGCTGTTTTCAACCGAGTTACATTGAGGTACAGCAGAGGCTATCACATTTCGCGTGAAACAACCAGTACTTTGTGTTCAAAAAAAGCAAGTCCAGCCAGCAAGCCACTACTACTACTGCCCTGAGCAGCCTTCAGTGGAGTCTAAAAATTCATTAATTCTGTATTATTATCTTTCCCAATATTTCTGATATTCAGTGTGGACTGTTATGTTGATGCTACTTAACTGTAGTCTATCAATATTATTGATTCGATGTTATTTAAACAGCATTTATGTTGTTCATAACACTAATTCACTCACTATTATGTATGTATATATAACTGTCGAACCTGATGAAGAGCAAGTTGTCGAAAAAAAATATTCTTAGTTCAGCAACCATTCTTTTGAAAACTAACTCAAACAAAACCTCTACAAAATCAAAACCTCCTAAATAACTGAACTCTATATTTAGTCGAGTACATCACTTCCAACAGTGTGGTTGTTATAAGCACAACAGATAAAAGAGCTCAATTCTAATAGTTATGTGAATACAGCACAGCTTAGAAAAGAGAAAAAAATATTGACCTTCAGATTGAAAATCACCTATAATCTATGATAAACCCGACGACATACAGAAGGAATGTGTAACACACCTGTTATTCTTCACTTATTTTCAAATATTTCTAAGCATTACTGTTACGGAAATTTCCCACCATCAAAAACGCACACATACACACACGCACATCCTTTTGTGTGTAATAACTCAGTATGTGAGATACTATAAACAACTATGCTTGTGTATTATTCACAATCATTTCAGTGTGTGAAGATTATTCAGTCGAAGTTGATTATACTCATTAAGAATTAATTAATTAAGCTAGAAATCAATACTTTACTTTATGGGTGTTTTTTTCAAAATAACATGTGAGACAGATACATACTACTGATTTGACTGATATAAGTAGTTGGATGCCCCGCACATCAACAAGTACTAGAGCTAGCTGTCTAAATTGAAGTGATTTAAACATCACTCCTTTTACCCTGAACTCATCAATAGTGTAGCTGCTTTCGACTCAGCTCAAAGAGCTAGTTCATTTCATGTCACTCGAATTCTGGTTGGCTAACTACTTTAGCGAACTAGTATTAAATACATCAGGTCAAATTCGTAATTTCCCCATTTATTTACCTCTAGCTGTGTGAATTGCAAATCGCCAATGCAAACGAATCAAACTCAAATGGACCGACTGATTACGTAACCGAATAACTAGAGTTAAATGGTGAAGACAATAGCCCTTATTTGCTGTTTGTATTGTTTTACTTACTGTCTTCCACTCCGTCGAGATTACCATCAACTCTTCTAATGTAGGTAATGAATGTATCATTCTCACTGATGGCTAGCAATGGAACCAGGGTTATATGTGTCTCACAGTGTAATGGTGTTCTCACTGAGTTTCAAACCCCCCATAGCATTAGTCACTAGATTAATGAACTTATTTCTTTTATTATTATTATTTGATTTCTTTGAGTTCCGAGTGGAACATGGGTTGGCTTCAAACTTGAGCTTCTAAGTTTCAGTGGCATTGATGTTTTATACAGGATGGAGTTGCTGGACTAACGCACAACCTTCTCTCTTTCTCGGGCTTACAACCAGCTAGGGGAGGTGAAGGCGTGTGCAGCTGGTAATCTAACCGCAGACCACTTGCATGCTTGGCGAGGATTCTGCCGCTGAACCATCAACGCAGAGATTGGTTACAGGATTTCATCATAAGCAGACATTAGTTAGATAACCTTTGGAAAAACCTGCAAGAAGTACTGGACCACCAGATGTTTCGTTGGTTCATTTTGGGACTCTTCATCAGTACGCACCCACCGGAGTTCTATCCCAAGACCTTCTGGTTGCAGGGCGAGCTCGTATACCATTAGGCCACTGGGGTCCGATCCAATGGCAGTCCATGAATTCTAACTTCTGCCAATTCACGATATAGCGCAACCACTAGCCAATGTCTTCGGTAAGTATTTCTCCTCACACCCGACCTGCTGCACCCTATGGCCTTGTAACTAGAAGGTCCTGGATTCGAACCCCGGTGGATATGTACTGCTGAAGAGTCCCAAACTAGGACGAAAGAGCTGTCCAGTACTCCCTGCAGGTTTTCCAATGGTTCTCTAGCCAACCATCAACGCAGAGATTATCTGACTACTCGACACCTTTTAAAATGGGCACCATTCATTATCGAATGAAACTTGTGAATTCGCCCCCCACCACCTAGTTCAACATGACGCTACTGTTCTTTCTGACTGACCTTAAGGCATCAGTGCAACGTTCACATTAAAAGAGCTGATAGGCCAGCTAGGGACTAAGCGTCTCAATTCACTGAATTCAGCCAACAGGAACATTCATAGATTTCAAGAAATAGTCAATTTCGTTAACCTTTAATTCTTAAATATTTCAAGTATAGGATTTGCTAACTTTTATCGGAATAATAAATGTGTTTTTTTCCCAGTACTCAATAAATGATTTATTCAATGATTTGACCTTATCATATTGTTGTTGTTGTTGTTATTGTTGTTATCTCATAAATCAACCAAAAATTCAATTATTTCTACACTTAAAATGGAAATAAATTTACACCATAATTCACCTCATGAAGTTCCTTATTGAAATTAATTGCTTTCTTTTGTGTATATGTGTGTGTGCATTTTTGCATACAGTGACAATTTACGCACAGCCAATATTATTGCAGCTGGTGATGGTGCAGTGACCTGTCTTGCTCTAGATCTTGAGTAAGTTTTCTTTTGACTAATGCTCAATATTATCTGTTTCCTGTTTTCTATTTACTATTGCCATTTCTTTTAAGCTGCAGAGTAATTTTACATTGATTGGTGTGATTACTGTGAACAATTCTAAATCAGATCTAAGTTAAGTTTGATAAGATAAATAGAACATTTCCTAGATAAATCGAAATTTCCGAAAAGTTGTTACTTTTCAGTAAGGTGTAGGATTCTGCACTTGGAGCTGATGAATATCAACCCCAGCGTCTTATTATTACTTAAAAATACCGAAATCTATCGTTGTGATGTAGTTTTCCTTTTTCTTCATACCATAAGTTCCAAATGGAATATGGATCTTCAGGCTATGAAGTCTGAGTGGCAGTGGTATTTGCCTTCAAGCCTTAACTTCTCTCCTTTCTGCACCTACCGTCAGCTAACTGACTAGAAAAAGGTTTTTGGTGAGAAATCGAACACGGGTATCCAGGGAAGCTGGCGAACATCCTACAATTGAACCAACCACAGACGCACATCGTTTTATTGTAAGCGGATTTAATTCATCTATGCGCCGACTTTATGCTGTATGATTGTAGGAAGTCAGCACGATGCTCTGGACTTAGATTTGTTCCTAATCACTGCTTATCAGTAGGGCATATCTGTAAATTTTAAGGGACTAATGTCTCTTTAGAGATTTGGATACGTGTCACCCAATTCTAAAGTCACAGACGTATACAATAAATCTTTTCGTCTCCCGTTTAACTTCCTGATAACTAATAGCATACTCTGTACTGTTAGTATCGTCCAGCATGGTCTACACTACTGACTGTCCTGAAGAGTTAAAGATTGATTACACCAACTGATAATGCTCGGTAATCCTATGGATACTGAATTAAAAATCCACCCTGTGTATTAATCTCAAATACCTGGCTAAAAATCAATATTAGTTGTAATTACTGAGACCAGTGAGTAGCAAATATTTCACCATCCATCTGATCTCAACTGCCAATCCGTTTTCTTGGTGTTAAGTAGATCAGATATGATGTTTCCAATCATCTAGATGAGATCATAGGATTTGTAAGCATTTTTTTATAATTCAAACTGATACTACTCCTTTTCTGTTTGTTTATTTATTTCGATCACTAGATCATACAATCTACTGCTAGGTGATTTAGAGGGGTTGAAGAGACGCTATTCAAAAGAAAAAGTAGTAGAGGATAAGTAAGTTTCTTTCAAATACAATATTTTTTTAAAAAAACTCACCTAATATGATGAACCTGCTAATTACCAGTGAATAAATTATTATGGATAATTGTCTATTTCTCTCTGCTTACTTAAAATAAAATAGTAGTATGAATTTTTCACTAAAAGTTTTTGAAGTGTTCAATGTGCTTTGGTAGGATAATGTGACAACTGTATCCATTGGTACATGTTTTAATTCGTGTGAAACTCATGATGGTAATGACTTCTGGAAATCTTTGAATATAAATATAATATAAATCCATGTTTCGTAAATAAAAGTTTTATTTTTGTTTCTTCTATGAAAACAATATTCATTCTGCTAAATTAAAATCTCGAAGAGAGAGAAAAGATTTTACAGAGAGTAAGAAAAATGTATCTTTTATTCATTCGAATGGTTACTGGGAGAGTCGATTGGTGCCAGAGTCATTTATGTCGTGAAGAGACACCACAAATAGGAAGTTTTCTGCCTCAATTTGCCACCATTGTCTAGTTCACAACTAGAATCCTACGTTAAACTGACTTTTTATCCATAAGGTATCACAGTGAGGTCATTATGACCGCCTGTATAGCTTCTTTACGAAGTTCCTTGTCGGTGTCAAAGTTAATCATTATACATGTCAGAAGGTTGAAATTAACTTGTATATCTTGTAGAGGTTCAACTGGTTTCACAGCATAATTCATTAAATATGAAATTACACATGAGAAAATTTCCGCTTTATACAGAGAAGAAACTAAACTAAACTGACTAAACTCAGGCGTGAGGCCAGCAACCCCACCCTGTAAACAAACCTGCTACAGAAACTTCAGCGTGAACAGTCTCCTTGCGTCAAAAGAAAAAGTCTGTGTGGGGACATGGAATGTCCGCACCATGTACGAGACTAGCAAAGCTGCCCAGATCGCAAGCGAAATGAGGAGATACGGACTACAAGTATTGGGGATCTGCGAAAGCAGATGGAATGGATACGGACTCACCAAATTGTCAACAGGTGAGTCAGTGATTTACTCCGGTCACCCAGAAGACAGACACACACACACCGAGGGCGTGGCTATAATGATGTCACCAACGGCAACCAAGGCTCTGATACAATGGGAGGCGATCTCACCCAGGATAATAACCGCCAGATTCAACTCCAAAGGAAGGAAAGTGTCAATTATACAATGCTATGCACCGACCAACAACGCAGACCTCGAAAAGAAAGAAGAATTCTACAGACAACTGCAGGCAGCAATAGACAATACTCCAGCCGGTGACATCAAAATACTAATGGGAGACATGAACGCCAAACTGGGACCAGACAACACAGGAAGGGAACTCATCATGGGTAAAGAAGCTCTGGGAGAGATGAATGAAAATGGAGAACTCTTCGCCGACTTCTGCGCCTTCAATGAACTAGTGATTGGTGGCAGCGTATACAAACACAAGGATATTCACAAGGCTACATGGGTGTCACCAGATGGGCGAACCAAAAACCAAATTGACTTCATCACAATCTCGAGGAAGTGGCGGCGCAGCCTACTGGACACAAAAGCAAGAAGAGGAGCAGACGTTGGCTCAGACCACTACCTCGTACAAGGAACAATCCAACTCAAATTAAAGGCTTTCAGAGAAACAGGAGCTGCAGATAGACCACAAGCCAAGTTCAACACTCAAAAACTAAAGGACCAGGATACAAAAGATATCTTTACTGCAAGTATAAAGGACAAAGCCGAGACACAAATCAACACTGGTGAAGAGGTCAGCGTCGAAAAACACTGGAACAATCTGAAAACAGTATGGAGCGAAACCTGCATGGAAGTTCTGGGCAGTAAGAAGAGACAGGACAAACCGTGGCTCACTACGGACACTTGGAGGCTAATAGAGGAGAGAAGGATGGTGAAACAAAAAATTCTGCAGTGCACCGACGAGCAACAGAAACAGGAGTTGAATGTAAGCTACAATACACTGAACAAAGGAGTAAAGAAGAGTGCCAGAGAAGACAAAAGAAAATATTATGAAGCCATGGCCAATGAAGCAGAACAAGCTGCAGGCAAAGGAGACCTCGCAACACTTCACCAAACAACTAGGTACCTTTCAGGCAAAAATTCGTCACAAATTAAGCCAGTGAAGGATGAAAATGGAAAGTCAATCACCAAAGAAGTGGAGCAAAGGAAACACTGGGCTGAACACTTCAAAAGACTACTAAACCGACCGCCACCTACAACGCGCCCAACAATACCAACAACGGAAGCAGAATTACCAGTGAACATCAACCCCCCGACGAAATCAGAAGTCCTGAAGGCAATCAAGATGCTGAAAGCTGGGAAAGCAGCAGGACCAGATGGAATCCCAGCAGAAGCATTGAAAGTCGACCCAGAGACAACAGCAGACCTGATGACGCCACTACTGGAGAAGGTGTGGAAAGAAGGCAAAGTACCCGAGGATTGGAAGAAAGGATACCTATTCAAACTACCAAAGAAAGGAGACTTAAGTCAATGCAAGAACTGGCGCGGAATTATGCTCCTTTCCATCCCAAGCAAAATACTAAGCCGCATCATCCTGGAAAGGATCAAACAAGCCTTGGATGAAAAACTTCGATCAGAACAAGCTGGATTCAGGAGTAACAAGTCATGTATTGATCAAATCGCCACACTACGGATCATCATTGAACAAAGTTTGGAATGGCAGTCACCTCTCTATCTCAACTTCATCGACTTTGAAAAGGCCTTCGACAGCGTCGATCGAGAGGTGATTTGGCAACTACTTCGCTACTACGGGGTGCCGCCGACAATTATACATCTCATCCAACAGTTGTATGACAACGCTGCATGCCAAGTAATCCACAACGGGAAGCTCACGGAATCCTTCGAAGTGAAGACAGGAGTAAGACAGGGTTGCCTACTATCGCCAATGATCTTCCTGATTGCAGTAGACTGGATAATGCGACAAACAGCGGGCAATGAGGAAACAGGCATAAAATGGACTCACACAAAATACTTGGAGGATCTGGACTTCGCCGATGATATATGCCTGATTTCCCACAAACTGGAAGATATGCAAGTGAAAAGTAACAAGTTGGCAGAAGAAGCATCAAAGATAGGACTCCAGGTGAACATAGAAAAAACAGAGGTGATGAAGATCCCTGGCCAACACCAACAACAACAACAGACAGCAATCAGCATAAATGGAAGGAACCTGAAAGAAACTACCTCCTTTACCTACTTGGGAAGCATTGTTTCAACTACAGGCGGAACTGACGAGGATATCAAAGCAAGGATCGGGAAAGCAAGGCAAGCTTTCATTACTCTGAAGTCTGTGTGGAGGACAACATCATTCAGCGTCAAAAATAAGATCGGGATTTTCAACTCCAATGTGAAGTCAGTACTACTATACGGATCAGAGACTTGGCGTGTCACAAAGAGCACCTCAAACAAGCTACAGACCTTCATTAACAGATGTCTTCGCTCAATACTCAAGATCAGATGGCCGGAAAGGATCAGCAACAAAGATCTCTGGGAGCGAACCAACCAGGAACCGATTGTGCAACAAATAGGCAGGAAAAAATGGAGATGGATTGGCCACACTCTGAGGAAACCAGCAAGTGACATCACTAGACAAGCCATTGCTCGAGTGGAACCCGAAAGGGAAGCGGCGAGTTGGTCGTCCAAGGGTGACCTGGAGGAGATCATGTGAAGAGGAGATGAAAGCATGTGGGAAGACCTGGAGCCAGGTGAAAACTCTAGCAGAGAATCGAACGCAATGGAGACGCATGGCTGAAGCCCTATGTTCCTCTAGGAACTAAAGGAAATAATAATAATACAGAGAAGAAATCGAAACACATTGTTCTCTGCTTTGTTACATAATATTGATTTCTTTTTAAGAACTGAATATTCGATTGACTACTATTCAGATAAATATGATAAACTATTTTGATTGGATGTCACAGTCAACTAACACTACAAAATAATAATGAAACCAAGTTGTATTGGCCTGGTTGTATTTCCTCTATTATGTACCAGATGTTTCATAAATCTAATCCCCTTCAAAAACTCCAATAAAATATGATCAGTAAATCTCAAAGTATGCGGCGATGTCGCTTATCTCACCAACCCCCGCATGCACGTAAACGGATAACAATGAATTATTAATTCCTTAATTCCTTTTAGTCTTATTGTGGACTTGTCTCCTGGATGTGCGTGCATCCGTGGAGACTCGAGTCTAACACCCTAGTGTTACCCCCTGAACTACCGAGAGCTTCCAAGAGCTACCTGTTGTACGAAGGATGTCAGTGATTATTGTTGACTAAATGATTCAAATTCCCAGTGCTTATCTGATCTGTCTGTGTTTGAAAATCGGCTCAAAAACTGGATTTCAACTTCTAAATACTTCAATAAATAAAGAAATATATAGCATTCTCAAAATAATGATATTTCTAGACAGTTTAGGACTGTGGTTATAAAATCATCATGTAAGTTATAGTTAATCTCGCAAAATGTTATAAAGGAATTGTGTTCAAGATGCACCTGAGTTAAGGTCGTCAACAAGGGAGAAAATAAGAGGAAGAGACAGGAGCTTTTTATTGTAGTAGCAGGTGAACACTAATCACTTTGCCTTCCCAAATGAAATATTCAGTTTAAATGACCCCAACAAGTAGAAACAAAGTTGGATTTACTTATGTCTCTCAGTTATTCTGAGAGCAGTTTTATTGACAGTCACACTTATGGCGTATTCACTTGTTAATCAGCGTCTGAGGTTATCTAGTTCCTGGTTAATTATTTTTTGACCGTATAAGATTTGGTTATTCGATAGAATTTCTTTGAGGAACAAAGGAGTTTGTAGCATCAAAGAAGTTTAAAGCACTGATGAGGTTATTAAGAATTGTTCAGTGGAAATTTGCTCACTTTCAAACGGCAAATTGTCCCACTGAGTGAATGGTCGGTGAGATGGCCTCGTAACCTGGAAGTACCAGGTTTCGATCCACCGTGGGGAATTGTCGAAGAGTCGCAAGCTAGGACGAAACAACTGTTCAGTACTCCCTTGTTTTCAGTGATTCTCTAACTGACATCAAACCGTAATCTAATGTGAAACCAATAAAGTCTCGACAAACGAACACTTGGAAATGCCTTAATGCCATATTCTTTATTGGTATAATATATATTCGGATGTATATATTTGTTGAGTATTTACTGACTTAAATGCACATATCCCACAGTTAATACCAATTCCTTTTGGTCTATGTATGTGAACACTCTGCAACAGTCGCTTTAGATGTCTTTTACGACATGAAATGAGATGAGCGATTTTATTTCATCATCTGATTCCGTTATCTGTTAGATTCATCATTCAACCCATGAAGATACCCATAACTGATGGTGCTAATTCCAGTCGATGACTTGATTTCATAAAGTGAATTTATATTTTTATGGTCAAACATAACATACTACATATATTTTATCGGTTCAGTCATACCGGCACAGTCTGTGTATCACTTCTAAAATGTCTTCGATTCTGGTCAAATACTTGGGCGAACTGGTATATGTTTGCATATTATTTTATTATTATTCTCTCATGTTCGACTGGAACTCAGGGCTTCAACAACACACTTCCATTTGGTTCCGTTTTCTGTGATCGTATTTACCTGACTATACGAATGTCCATAAGCTCTTTTCTCCCCTTCACATCATCCCCCCAGTGCTGTCTTCAGACACAGGCCCAGCTCCACTCGGGTGCCTGGCATACGATATCACTGAAGAGATTCTTCACTTTGTATTCGACCCATTTCCATTTTCTTTAGCGAATTTGTTGCACAATAGGTTCTTTGTTGCTTCGTTTCCAGAGTTCATTGTTACCAATCTTTTACGGCCATCTGATCTTCAGTATCGAGGTAGCGAAGGCAGCTGGTGATAAATATCTGAAGCTTTTTTGAAATGTTTTCGGTGGTACACCAAGTCTATGACCCACATAGAAGTAGTGACTTGACATTAGCGTTGTTCAAGTGATGATTTTCAGGGATTTGATTGGCCACAGGATTTCATCATGAGCTGACATGTTTATGCTGAATACATTAGATTTCCAAACTGATTTTTCCGATCCTGACTCTAAAATCTCCATCCGTGCCGCCTGTAGTTGAAACAATGCTGCCTAGATAAGTGAGAGAGGTAACTTCCTTCGAATGCTTTCTGTTGATAGTAACTAGTACTTGTTTACAGGATTTCACCATCGGCTGATATCGGTCAGAGAAGTACTGGAAAACAACCTGGGAGAACTGGACAGCTGTTTCGTCCCTGTCTGGGACTCTTCACAGTGTGCATCCACCAAGGTTCAAACCCAGTACTCTCCGGTTACAAGGCAAGCTAGCTGCTAGACCATTAACCCACTGGGACTCAATTAAATAGCCCATGAACCCCAACTTCTGACAATTCACGATATAGTGCGATTGCCATTAGCCAGTGTCAGAGTTTAACCTTACACCCGACCTGCTGTATCCCACTGGTGCTTGTTTTTGGTAATATTACATAGGAATAAATTCATTCTTTGCAAACTACACGCTTTGAGGTGAAATTCCACCACAGCTTCCTATGGAAATCGATATGATCTAGACTGACTACTGCTTTTGGCAAAACGCGTGTACAGAAAATTTTTTCAAGCAAGGACGCTTTTTTGTGCTTCAGGCACTATAAGTTTTTGTTACATTAAATACAATAGTACTACCACTACTCCTATTAATACTCAAAGCTTTGTCTTAACCTATTGTTTTTTTAGACTAGGCGAATTTAAACCAGAATTTCAGAATTTACCGTTAGAAAAGCTACAAATCATTTCTACTCTAGGCTCAGGTGGATTTGGACGAGTTGAACTAGTAAGTAAAAACAATAAAATGTGTTTTATTTTAATTAATCAACAAAGCTGACTTCAGATTGTACTAAAAGGACTCATACTTGAGTTGATTTTCAATTTTTTTTAAATCGGAAAGGAAACAAAAGGAAGACATAATGAAATGTATCTGTAACGTATTCAAACTTGGTAAATTTGTTCTCCCTAAGCTGATTGGTTGAGTTACAGACAACATTACTTCAGCGCACAATTCACCAGTTCATTAGACATCTCTCCTGATAACCTTAGATATGACTGATTGTTTCTGGAGATGTGCTAACCCTCCCGTCTATTCGAACTACTATTTATTATTTTGTTGGCCTGGAAGTTCACCGCCTTCCAGAAAAATAGATATTCACGAAATTGTTATGAAAAGATGCCTAACGTCATTACAGACAACCAACTCGTAAAGGCACAAAGAAGATCGTCCCAACCATATATGAAAAATGTGTCCAAAATCACTGCAAGACTATTGAAAACTTTTGGAACAGATGTTGCTCACAAACCAACAGAATCACTTGAATCTGTACTATGTCAACGACAAAAAATGTAACAGAGAAAGAGGACACAACTGATTTAATCTACAAGGTAAATTGAAACAACTGTGAAAGACATAATCTCGATAGAAGTGAATACCCTCTTCGTCTTCGCCTCCACAAAGATACACTGACTGTCATACTGATGCATGTAGACAACCAGAGAAATTGATTCAACCACGTAAGCGTACAAATTCTAGACAAATGAAACAGCGGAAACTTCCGGGGAATTTCTAGAAGCCTAGTTCTCAGACGAATCCGCAATCAGCAAGTACATTCGCACAGATAAGATCTATCAATCAGTGAAAAAGGATTCACTTAGACAAAGGGACAACATAAGTGAACTAAGAAGGTGAGCAGATCTCCATGGACAACCATTCACCTTCAACGTTACCAAGGAAAATGTCTATTAAACTCTTGGGGAATTTTAAAAGCTCACATCATGCTAAATTCTGAGCTGAAGATTCGGTCTAGAAAGAAAATAAAAGTTTTGCGATTAAATCATCTAGCTTAGAGAACACAAGTGTACCAACCATATTCACGCAAACTACAAACCTTCTCCATCACATGGCATTCAAAGTCGCATTACTAACATTGAGCAGACTAAAATGACGGACCATTGTAAAGGGAAATAAATTAACTAACCACATAAATAATTCTACATCATACGATTTCTGAGATACCATTATGTGTGGTTATTTGATGTTGGATGATTTGAAGCAGTCGATAGAAAGCCCTGGGCCTAGGTTATGTGCTTGTTGGCACCCACCTTCAAGGAACTGGGCTGTTCGGGTCTGTAAATGGCATCCTGAAGGACTGTACTGATTACAATGGTTGGTCATTAAAGATTACCAATAAGCACGAAGCTAAGATCCATGAATTCCGGTTGACTGCCTCTAACCATAGGTCACGATTTTAGGTCACCCGGCACCCTTGATGAACACATACGTCAGCTTTTGATATCGGTTACTTCCATGTGACGAATCGATGGTGGTTAACTGTTAGTCAGACAAACGCTCATTCAAATTTTACTGATTTTATGAAAAGCCTACGTCTAGAACCATATTGTTACATAGTTAGCTTCTGTGCTACTGCTAGCTTATTATTATTGTTATGATCCCTTCTTCCTCTATTTGAATATGCGTCCCTCTATTGACATAAGAGTTTCCTTACTTAGTTTCAGAGCCGTAGGCTGTCATAGATCTATGTCACAGGAAAGAAGCAATACTGACAGAATGACCTTACAAATAAAATTTCATCTTCTTAAGTATATGAAAATAATTACTACAGTTAATAAAACTAGATCCCCTTAATTCTTGTTCCCTTCCATGCTTTATCGTAGAAGTTACAGAGTTGTCCAGATATTTGTAACAAGTAACGACTTATTCCTATTCAGCTTTGTAGGCCGGAGTCAATCAGACTACTTAAAGGACGCGAAGGATCTTAGTGTAGCTTACTAAACTAAAATAATATAATTAAAATATTCGGAGATAAGCTCACATTATCATAGAGTAGAAACATCAGATAACTAAGCACAGTGAGGAATGATACGCTAGCAGGCTTTGTTTATCAAATAAATGCAAAATCTATGTGAAGTAGAGAGGACTCAGAACCTACAGCTGTCAATTTAAACACTCTTATTGATAGCCTAACCCGAGTTCCCTTCAAAAATTGGCTTCAAAAGATACTTAAACTGTACCTCAAATGTCTTTCAGAATACCCCTAAGACATTTAACGAAAGCAAGAGAAAAACACATAATATCCACAAGTTTATATGACGAAATCACATCCAATGGCATATACACACCAAGATTACGCAGCCTACTCAAAGTACATAAACCTGGAGTGCCGTTAAGACCAATTCTAGATAAGCACAATTCACTCTACCGTGCTTATTTAGCTAAATGGTTGGTAAACATTACTGAAACACTAACATGAAGAGCTGGTAAAGTATAGTTTGAAAGATATATAAGAATTCAGAGACAGAATTACAGATATTAACACCAAAGGTAAAACTATAACGCCTTTGGACATGACATCTCTAATTTACACATGTACCTCTGATTAAAATGGTCAATTACATCTATAAACAAATAAATAAACAGTCAATAAATACTGAGATCCAAGTAGAGATCCTCAAATAATTGTTACTAAAGTGTACGATGAATGTGAAGTTTAAATTTGACGGTGAACACCACAGAAAGGTGGATGTAGTGTCAACGGACTCTCTGTTGAGTTCCATGTTAACAGATTTCTTTCTGAGTAAACTATAAAGTTGTCCTATGAAAATCCTTATCAGAAAATTCTCACTTCGTTGCCGGTATATGGATGATACATTTATTCTTTGTGAAAACGATTTGGATAGGAACGCAATAATAACTCAGTTGGATGAACGAATGAAGTACATTCAGCTATCAAATTCATGTGTGAAGAGGAATCCCAAAGTTAAATTGCCGTCTTAGATGTCATACCGACAAGAAGACCAAAAAACAGTACGAAAAACAAATTGCATAAGAAAAGTTCTGAGACAGGTCAATATACACACTTTCACAGATTTGTTCCTCTCCATCTTGTATAAAAGACCCTCAGGTATAGTGTCAGAGATATTTGTTCGGAAGATGCGATCGAAGACAAACCCAAAGTTGTATACGACACGCTAATTAAGAAGGCTACCCAGAAAAGTGTTTCATTAAACATATGGCCACTGAAGTAGAAAAGAATCTTTCTGTGCCTATTGACAGGAAGCCTCTACACATACGACTAAAATTCAAAGGTGATATAACAAGTGAAATGATAACCAACAAATTGAGAAAATTGATGCAAAAGACATTAAATGTTTGCAAGGTGCACATTATATTTCCCACAAAACCGGGTGTGATCGCGAAACCAAAAGATGAAGTACTTAGGCCAGTCACCTCTAATTGTATCCATCAGTTCAAGTGCTCCTTTGGTAGAGCCAGTTATATTAGCCGCTGTCTGAAGAACCTAATTTTTCGTTCTTGGGAACATCTCTCAGTATTTCAACCACCTCTTGCAAGCAGACCAAAAAGCAAACATGGAAGAGTATTCCTCTATCACCTACCGGGCAGCAAAGAAATTACCAAATACCTCTAGATACCGAACACTCCAAACAGCAGAGGCTATTGCAATCCGCCTAAAACAACCGTAGCACTATCTGCAAAAGAAGTAGGCCCAGACAGCTACTATTGCTACCCTGGACTGCCGTCTAACCTAGAAATTCATAAAATCTGTGCTACTTCCTTTAGTTTATCTGATATTCATTCAGTTATATCTAAGCATATTATCTCTCGCTTACTGATGCTTTTAAATCGTAATCTGTCGATACTACTGATTTTACTGTAATTTAAAACATCATGAATGTTGTGAATAAAAATATTTATTCAATTATTACTGTCATACAAATGTAGAGTGCTCTTTGACTGAACACTAGTAACTAGTGTGATCTGTCCAGTTCTTTGTTTGGTGCAGACTGAATTCTATCAGTCAGTTCTCCAATGTAGCCACCCTTCGAGGTAGCTCGCCATGATGGTGTACTTTGAAATGTTGATATTAGATGGTTGGAGGCAATCGGTAGGAAACCCAGTCTACCCTACGTTTCGTGCTAGTTGCCACCCATCAGTAAGGTGTATCTGCAACTCTGAAAGAACTCATGTCCTTCCTGAGATTCAGTGGTAGACACATCACATCAGCTACTAGGGCCCAATCAAAGTATCCAACACAGTCCTACAGGATGTCAACTGCAAGCCCGAATAGCTCAGTGATAACAAATCTGACTGCAGCATTGAATGACACGGGTTCGAATCTCAGAAGGGAAATGACTTCCTTCAAGATTGCAGATACGCCTTGCTGACGAGTGCCAACTAGCACGAAACCTAAGGTAATCTGGGCTTCCTGTCGATTGCCTCCAACCATCGAATATCAACAACGTAGATTGTTCATTAATCAGCCTTTTATATATGTATTTGTTTCCTAATATATTTTGAAAGTTACGAAGAAATAAATCAAAGCAACGAATATTCGTTCTCGGAACTTCGCTTCAAAACTCCACAGTTATTTATTGTTCTAAAAAGGTTATGGTAATGCTTATAAAGGTCAATTATTAGTATCACTTAGTAATCAACATGTAAAATTACATGTAAGTAAAGATAATGAGTAAAATACGAAACTTAGTTGAGTGGTCTTACATCGTTTAAAAGCATTACGTGGTGAATATCTTTAAGAGATGATTGCCATTAAAAAGGTTAGCACCTGGAAACAGGAATATTGTTCAAAACAGTAAATGATTCAAAAGTTTGAAAGAGAAGATGAAGAGGACAAACACAAGATGAATAAATGTGAACCAAATGTTTCGGCCTATTTCGGGACTCATCTTCAGTACAAATCAAAAATATGCGTAAGGTCAAGACAGCGAAGGGGATACGACCAACCACTTCTGTTTACATAGTTCAGGGTTTCCCTTATGTATGCCAAGAGCTTCTGCTCTGGACAGAAGACGTCAGCAACTTGTTTGCCATCCTATTCAGATTAATGTTGTTTAAATCCAGGATTTCTGAATCTTGATAGCAAATATTATATGAAAATGACCTTAAGGCCTAACTGAAAGATGACCCCATATATCCTTCTAAGTTCACAAGAAAAGTATATAATTGTCTCATGTACAATTGTATGTATTCATTTGAATATATTTACAATCACACATACGCATGTAGGGAACTCATTCAATCTTGTATGCAAAGGCTAATAAACATATTCTGAAGTGACTTCAGAGAAATGTTAAGTCTCCTGAACCTGGAAATGGCGTGTTGAGAGCTGTCTACAAACCAAAATTCTAGACAACACTTGACGTCAATGTCTACGTCTTGAATTAGGGTCATGGGAAAAAAAAAACAATAACAAAGCTTAACCTTGAGGAACTCACCAACCAATCACAGCAAACTCAACGTGTGCAAATACGATTCGCCGATATATGGCTCAACCACCTAAGAAATGGTCTCAAGCAGTACAGAATAACCTTCAGCAAGAAAAGAACCAATCAGAAGACGTTGCTTCTCTGCTAACAATAATATTAATAATAATGTATATTAGAATCTATGAATATCTCTTGATTTTCTTAATAAACTATCTGTTGCCTGGCTCTTGTCTTTTGTCGTTACAATAGTAGAGATAGGTATTCAAGTTCCTGAGTCACAAAAATTATCATAGAAGTAGGTTACCCAAATGAATATGCGTGTAACGGCCATTTCCTCTTAACTTATAATACATTCGACTACTCTTGAATAAACCTGAAACTTCTAGTCCAACACGAAAGAAAGAATGAATTATATTGTTTAAAATGCTTTTCCTTCCCTCTGGATAGTAATTCCTTAAGTATCCAGGTTTATCACACAAAAAGCACCGATCTATACTAAGGTTCAACTGTAGCGCCTCTACTTGCAGCTGAAAATCTTCAGTTTCAAGTTTGATAACAAAACAACTTCATTTATAGAATCGCTGGAAATCACATTGTACTGGACAGCAGTTTCAGCCTAGTTTGGGACTCTTTAGTGTGCTGGGTAGTAATACTTAACTCTTGAAAATATTCAGTTGGTTGTTCACACTGAATGACTTTTGTTTGTTCTGTTATGAATACGGTTGTACTTTATATCTGTATAGTTACATTCGCCGACTCACGGATGTCTACAAACTGTGTGGCGTTAACCATTTGTCGTCAGTGAGAAATGGCATCCGAAAAACTTTTGTTAATCTCCAATGTTAACGAATGCAGCAAAGATGTTTCGTCAGGCGTGAAAAATGAACAGGGAAGCAGGCACATCAGCCTCAATCTTAACACCAGGGATTCTCTGTCTTGTCCCATACTCGTGGTACAGAATTATTGTCTTGCCTGATATCTATCAGTAGGACAGTCAGACTTCCCTACCAGTCGTCCTACTAATGACTTCTAGATCTCCTCTCCACTTGAACGTTCCACACTATCGTAAACAGCCTTCATCCAATCTGTCAAAAGCGTTCTCAATAGCACTACCTTCACCGTTGGAGCTCGAAAGCGCATCAACTAAACAACAGCTTCAAAATCCTTCAGAAAGCTTTGAACATCTCTTTCTCTAGAAGCTGTAGGTCAAGGGATCTTCATATGGTCGGAAGTGGTGATATCAGATGTAACAACAGAGCACAAATGTGTTATTTATCAGTTGTTTATTCGGCAAAATGATGTGTAGTGATGGTAAAATAAGAAATCCTGAGTCTGATCCCCGATAGTATCAGACAAAAGAGATGTCGAGGACTCCCTAATTTTGTGGTCCAGTGGCCAAGCAGATAACACTGTGCAACGGTAGTTCAGTGGCAGAATGCTCGCCCACAGTTCATGTGGTGTGGGTTCTAAGTGCTTCCGTCAGCCGATAGTAAGCCCGGAAAAGAGGGAAGGTTGGGTGGGACTGAGGCTAGCAACTCCACCCCATAAAAATAACACCACCAGCGATACAGAAACTTCAGGTCTTGAAGCAGTATGTTCCACTAGAAACGCAAATATATATATATATATATATATCACGCAGGTAAGACTTTAGATCAATCCCTAGATAGAGCTGTGTATCGTTGAATTTCTCATATTTGAGAAACGCTATTTAGAAGTTCATTATAATAAAGGTGTTTTCTTGTATTTCCCAATGAATGAAAAACAATGAACGATATCGTTGTTTTTATCTAAGTTTCATTATTTAGTGTTAATAGCTTTATCAAAGTGGTATTATTAAACCAGAATTTACAAAATCCACTAAGCTTATATGTAACAGCTTAATCATCGTTCCTCAGCATGGGGTCATTTTTGCGTTGTCAAGTTGTCCCATTGGTAAAGATAACAAAATCAGGTGTAGATTGTTGGATTTGATAAGTGTGTAAAATTGTAAAAGCAGTTTGTGTTTACATAATGAAATTGCTTATCACATTTGTGTTGATTTTGTCACTTCATGGGGGGGGATGGAGGTGTTGTAACCAGGTGAAATTCTGTTTTACTCCATCATTCCTATTCAGATAATTTAGATATAATGAGGTACTTTTGATATGAGACGTCCTTTGTAATTTCTGAAATGCTTTTTCTGGATTATTTCAATATTGCCAAAACCGATTTTGTGACCTGATTCTAAAGCGTCGCGTGTAGACGAGCTATGGCTGATGATTTTGCAAGCTTTTCTAGTTCAATTGGATTTTCCGGTGGTCAAACAGAGGCGGCTCTATGGTTTTCATTCCTTATGATTTTGATTTCTCTAGATGTTTGTCCGATGTATATCTCATCACATTCCACACATTTTATTTTATAGACACAATCGGATAGAGAATCTTTAGGGATTTGGTCTTTTATATGGATAAGGTTATTTTGCAGTGTGCCTGATGTTTTGAAGAAAACTCTAATGTCATGCTTATTGAGTACTCTTCTGATGATATCGTCTGACATCTCTGATCTGTATGGAATGACAATTGTTGAGGTCCATGTCATTGGAATACGTTTTCGACTATATTTAATGTCAGTGTTGATTTTGCTGATGAAGTTCAGTGCTGAGGAACGATGATTAAGTTGTTATTTATAAGCTGAGTGGATTTTATAAATTCTGGTTTATATAATACTTTGATAAAGCTATTGGCAGCAGCATTAAATAGCGAGACGTCAGTTGACCAAACAGTATCGTTCATTGTTTTTAATTCATTGGGAAATACAAGAAAACACTTTTATTATAATGAATATCACATATACCCAATGCTTAAATTTTATTTCAAACTGTTAAAAGTGAACTTGATTTGGACGTATATTTCTTTTCCTTTCGTATTCATCTTTTATTTATTTCTCCAGGTATGTATAGGTGATGATAAAACAAAAACTTATGCTTTAAAAAAGATGAAAAAACAGCATATAGTTGAAACTAAACAAGAAGAGCACGTGATGAATGAACGTAATATCATGTTACAAACTGACTCCGATTTCATTGTACGGTAAGTTTAAAGCATTATGAGTTAAGTGTATTCTCTCTCCTCTTGACGTGAAATGTCTAGAATCCTGTCTTATGAGTGTATGATTTTTTTAAAATTTCGATTGAAACTTTGAATCGCCGCACTTCGAATTCAACTTTGATGTTCCCGTCGATTGATTGGACCGAAATATTCTTCTTCTACTGACATGGTGGCTTCTTGTACAGATGCTTCAGTGTTGTCTAAAGACTCTTTTGAAGTAATTCGGTGGATGGTGACTAGTAGTAGAATACAGGACGTGTATTTCGTCCTATTTGGGGCCCGTCAGTTGGATACACCTTCATTGCCCACTGACTCTTAGACCTAATACCAATAGTTTCAAACGTCAAAGCGTTATCCACCAGACCACTGGGGTCCCGGGAGCCGCTGGCTGAAGCTTCCTCTCAAGGAGCCGACATGTCAGCAGACGTTGAACATTTCAGTCCAGTAGGTTAACGGAACAATCAAAACTCAATCAAAATTAAATAATAACTTACGCCCGTAGAAAATGAGGTGACTGTTGGGGCCCAAGAGGTCTAGTAGGTGACGCTTTGGTATTCGAAACGACAAGTACTGAACTCGAGCCTCCATGGGAACACCATCGCTCACTGAGTAATGCAGGCACATCCAGATGACGAATTCGAAATAGCACGAAATACATGCCTTGTATTCCACTGCCAGTTACCATCCACTAAACACCCTACACTTTTCTGAGATACTGAAGAAACTTTAGTTCTAAATTCCAGTTCCAATACAAGTTCAAAGTAATTAAAAGAATAATTTTTGACCACATAAAACAAGTTTAAACCATTTTATGGATAAGGCTTCAATGAATTTAAGATGCTATGACGATTCACACATTAAATCGTAAATTCTGCATACAGACAACGTTTATTCAGTCATTGAGCCTACAATCGACCTAATTTGTTTTAGCAATTAATAAATAATTTTTATGAATCCTAATTTTTTCTTCTCCGTCCCCACTACTACATTTCTTCATGTGGTTAGTTCCCTTGACAAATTTGAATAATGAGCGCGATAAGAACACCTTTTACAGGATAATATGAATTCATCTTATTCCGTAGGATTTTCATCAGCTGCATAGACAACGTCAATAGTAAACTATATAAGCAATAAATGTAGAATAAAACTTGAACATACTTCAACTGAATAGCAATTTCGTTTTATAAGGGCTAATTAACATGCCAACACTGGACTACCGATAAGAAGACTCTAGAAGATCTTGATTTCGCAGTTGGAATATATCTAACGTCGCACAAACTCGAAGACTTACAGGGGAAAACCAAAAAGTTGACAGAAGAAGCTGGTAGCGAAGATAGGACTCCAGGGGAACATAGAGAAGATGGAGGTGATGAAGATAACCAAGCAAAGGCAACAACGACCAGTGACAATCACCATCAACGGGACAGACTTGATAGAAGCTACTTCCTTCACTTATCGGGCTAGGAAGCATGGTTTCAATCACAGGCACACGGCACGGATGAGGATGTCAAAGCCAGTCATAGTCGGAAAACCCAGCTACTCTTTCATCAACCTGAAACCAGTTTGCAAATCTCCTGTACTCAACATAAGGAACAAGATTAGCATTTTAAACACCAATGTCAAGTCAATCCTTCCATGGGGGTCAGAAACGTTCACTAAGTGTCACGAAAAGGATTTTCAACAAGTTACCGACTTTTATCAACAGCTTCATTCGATGACTCCATACTGAAGATCAAATTGCCAGCGGGCTGGCCGGAAAGAATTACCAACAAAATAGTCTGGCAGGCAACAAACCAACCAAGAGCCGATCGCTCAACAAATGTGCAGAAGAAAATGAAGACGGATTGATCTGGCATACATTAAGGAGGCCATCACATGACATCGCACGCAATGCTGGCCATGACTGAAGTGGAATCCAGATGGGAAGCGACGAGTGGTTCGTCACATCGAAGGTCACATGGAGGAGCCCGTGTGTTGGGGAAGGAGAGATGAGAAATAATGGGCAATCGTGGACCCAGATGACGAGGACAGCAGCAAATAGAACGAAATGGAGATGTATTGTTGAAGCCCTATGTTCCACTCGGAACCCAGGGGAACAGTAAAAATAATAACATGTTGACAATGGAAACGGGAAGGAAAGTATCCGAGAAGTTAGAATAATGACCGATTATAAGCAAAACAGAGACGTTATATATTAAACGTAGAAAAATGTTCCTGAATTTCAGCCCAAGTGAAGCATAAGTGGAGGCAACTACATAGTCACATGCGAAGTTATTCAACCGGAACGAAAGAGGTCAAGAACACAGAGATATTAGGAATTATTAATGCAAACAGATGAATATATTTATCAAGTTATGATACATACAAAAATAAAGCATAATAAATTGAAGTTGCGGGAAGTTAAAATGAGAGTGCTTACCAGGGTAGTAATAAGTTAGTGATAGTCTCTTTTTGCACGCATAATTCAGGTTTCATTCTCCAAATGGTCACGGCTTCAGCAGTCCTAAGTACTCTTGAAGTGCTTTGTCTGCTCACTACTTTAAATGATTCTACTACATTGACTTGATGTCCTTTATTAGCCAGGTGACGAGCTATGGCGCTGTTAGATGCTGTTGAACCTCTACATTTCTGTTACTTATGACGCTGATCTCAACCTAACTCTTTCAGTTTCAGTTGAGCTCTAATCAGTCTTATCATTTGTGTTATGCCACAGTTTTTTTTTCATTCTTACCAGAATAATGCTTTTTGTATTATGTAACTGTTACCTAAAGCTTATAATTTTTTTGACACATCTTTGAAAGCACTCCTTCTGTTGATGCGACGATGTACTATATGCATATATATATATATATATTACTTCCTTGGGTTCTGAGCGGAACATAGGGCTTCAACAACACACCCCTACTTTATTCTATTTTCTGCCATCCTCTTCAGCTGGCTTCACGATTACTCATAATCTCTTATCTCTCCCTACCCAAACGATCTCCTCCATGTTACCCTCTCACTGAAGACCCACTCGTCAATTCCCATCGGGATTCCACTCAAGCGACGGTCTGTATTGTGCGTGATGTGATTCGACGGCTTCCTCGAAGTATACCCAAAAGATCTCCATTTTCTCTTACATATTTGTTGAGCAATCGGCTCTTGGTTGGCTTGGTCCCAGCTATAGTTTCTTGCTGCTAATTCTTTCTAACCAGCCATTTGATCTTCGGTATACAGTCAACGAAGGCTACTGTTGACAAAAGTTTGTAACTTGTTGGAAATCTTTTTCATGGCAAGCGGTGCAAGTTTCTCACCCGCATGAAAGAACTGACTGACTTAAAAATAGTTCCTCTTCACACAGGACTTACATGTAAAGTAATAATCTGAAGCATATTATGTGAATACCACGCTGTCGCATAGGAACAAAGAACCTAATCAATAGAATTTTTTCCTCATCTCCTTCAAAAATTGCAGTGTTCTGTTGAAAGCTAATTAAATACATGCGCGAGTTCATGTAGTGCTCAAATGATATAATTACATGACTAATACAATAAGAAATGTAGGTTTTAAGTGTTTCAATAGATGGAAAATCGGGTAGCCCAGTGGTTTAAGCAAGCCGCTGTATAGCTTGTTTACTTGCAAGTCATATATGTATATATATATATATTTGTATATATATATACCAATGTATTTTTAATAGTATTGTAACGACAGAAGATGACAGGCATGATGAAGGGATGTCTATTTGCAATTTGGTATATCTATAAAGCCAAATTACGTACTATTGATATATGAATAAAACTTGGACACTGTGGTAGACTATAACTCCATTATGGATAAGATTTTATTTTGATAAATCACACAGTGTTACACAGTAATATTAACTGATGATTACGTACACCTTATCTTCAACACACCATTTGCACAGATCTTCCATGTTGTACTACTTCTCGCCTTCCTTCATATTGGGTGTGTTTCTTTGTGTTTCTTTTGCGTCTCCCATGTATCTCCGCAAAGCTGTATCATTTGCTTTCTCTGACATCAAATCTATCTCCCTGCTATTTGATGATTTTATACCGATGAATATCACTTTATATACTACTGATAAATCTTATCAGTAGCACACACACCGCAGTATGTATATATCACTGTATGTAGAGTATTAAGCTGAAGAGCAATTCTACCGAAATCTGATGAATTCAGTAAATCTCCTGTACTATACTATAATAAATATTTGTCACTTGTTTAGAAGAACTATTCACTAGGCTATTAAGTCACCTCTTGTGCAGCGGCTATCGGTATCCATTTGACTCTCAATAGGAACACTATCAACCACTTGGGATGCAGCTACATCCAGTTCACAAGTGATCCTTCTAAACTTAACAATCTTACTTTTTGATCCCAACCTAGGTGAGATCAGTTTTACTTCCGTAAAATTTTGTTTTTCTAATTTCACTTTTTTTTCTATTCCCTGTTACTAGATTGTGTAAAACATTCAGAGATAGAAAGTATCTTTATCTTCTGCTTGAAGTATGTCTGGGCGGTGAACTTTGGTCACTTTTAAAGGATAAGTAAGTCAGTAAACTTTTATTTTCTTTTGTTGTTTGTTTGTTTGTTTTTCAAAAACTTTTATACTTTTAATCCAAATTTCATTTGCAATTTGTATTTCATGCTGTCTGTGTGTGTGTGTTTGTGTGCTATGATGAGAGATATTTGCTAAAATGTTACTCTAGCTTGCGATTAAAGCAGTCAAAAGAGAAGTGTTGAGTAGGCTTTGTAATAGTTTTTGTTACCATTGTGGTGCGGGAACTAGGATAAGAGTTGTTTAACTTACACTAGTGAATAGTATGTAGATATTGTTTTTTTTAATCCTTTATGTTCGAAATGGAATATAGGCCTTCAAGCTTCAGATTTAAAATGTCAGTAGCAGGGGGTGGAGTTGCTAACCTCACACTTACCTAACCTTCCCTCCTTACCGGACTTACTGCCAGCTACGCGCATCGGCCGGGTACCGAACCCTGGACCACCTGAGTGGCTAGCGAGCATTTTACCTCTGCGCCACGGACGCACGCAGATAACACTAGTAAATCATTATATACGCCTGACAATTGACCTCTTACATGCTTCGACCATTGCATAAATTTCAATCGGTAAAAAGTACACAGCGATAAAGCGTTATTTACTGATATTGTTTCATGCACAGTCTCCTGCTCATATTCATATCAAGGGAATGTAGTATGAGTTCGAACCATGAACGGAGTCTTTTTTAAGACAGCCGAGAAGCATTGGAGTTTCAATGGTGCAATAATCACCAACCATACACATAGTCTAGATGTGATTCTTGGCTGACACGCACTTCTCAACCTCGCCTAACCTGTAGGTAGACCTGGAAAAGAAGGAAGGTTTGACATGAAATCAGCAACCCCATTATGTTAAAAAGCAACACCACTGAGAGTGAAACTTCGCTGTTCAAAGCTTGAAACCCCCTATGCTTCCCTGGGAATGTAAAAGGCACTCAAATAACTATCAAATTTTGTTTTTACAATTCCACTGTTTTTTATCCCTTGGATTTTATTGCTAGTTGTGGTATTATTTTTTACATCTCTGGTGTTCGCATTGACTCGTTCCTACTTTACTTATTAGGTGTAGCTTTGATGAAAAAAGATTCACTGGTCAATATCCCTCTCTCCATTTACGTGTATTAATTTTAAAACTGTAGCTCTGCCCAATCCTATTGTATAATCTTTTCACGTTATATCAATATAACCCCTTACAAAGTTCTAACAACAAAAAGTATAACAAACTTTTTCACGCTTCATAATAAGACAGAGACAAGATTGTATTTTCACTGTCTGGAAACATTTGCTGGTTTCCGTAAAGTCTCACAGTTGTTATAAACTGATTACATCTATCATCTCAAATAGGTATCACATAATATTACCATTTGTTGTATATTTTCCACAAAAATGAAGGTGTCTAGTTTCGATCCGTCACGGCACTAACTACTGCTCAGTGTGTAAATTTCGATTATTCTAGTTAATTTTGGTGTTATGGCATTAGTGTCAGATGCGTTATCTAATTTTCAAACATTGCCCATCAAGACGATATTTTCCAAGGTGATTTCAAAATTAAAAAACACACAAAACAAGCGGTGTTCAGAGAAGAGGCTGTTCCCAGTGGATTCACTGTCCCTTTTAGCTGTATAATCACACTTACAATACAATTTGTTTCCACAAAAGAGGATAGTAACAAAAGGGATGAATTGTCGTAACCCTTAGCTGTACTGGACGAAGTTGCCTGGAGTTAGTTCTAGTGAGAAAATGTGACAATGTGGGATCCATCGTGTCGGGAGTGAGGACAAATACTCGCTAGTGATGACACTGGCTGGTGCCAGTCGCGTTAATTTCACGAACTGTTAGAGGTTAGAATTCATGGATCGCTGGATCAGGTCTACAAGTCTGCCTTGTAACCGGAAGGTCCTGGATTGTTCAGCAAAAGTATTAGAGTTACGTAATAGGGCGAATAAATTAAAGACTGAGTTGTAATTACGGTACATATAGAAACGAAGGAAAATGTGTTGTTGAGTAAGAGATATAAAATGGTTTTAAAAAACACGGGCAAACAAGAAAAGCAAGCTGGTAGAAAACAGCAAAGTTATTAACATGGTAGTAGAAGTGTGTATGCAGAGTTCTGGTTTCTTTCTCTGAATGGTCAGAGCTTCAGCAATGCAAAGGAGAATAAAGATTATTGTCTTTGGGAGGTAAGGAAGAACTTACCAAGGAAAATACGCCTTCGTCTATCTCATTCACCTTATTACGTAACTCAAATACGCTTTATGCATCGGTTAATATTAACAGCTGTGATTATGAAATCTCCTCACTTTTGTTACAATTCACTTTCATGAGAAAAATCGTATATAGATGCCATTATACAGCTAAAGAAAGAATAAGTAAGAAAAAGGGTGTAAACAGCGAAGAAAAGTTTCTTTTCAACGATTCATTTTCATGAGCTGTACAACCGTTATTACATTTAACGAAAAGAAAATTAGACCAATCAGATTCTGGTAAACTTTGCCCTCGAAAAATATATAACAAAAATGTAAGGTATAAGAAGGGATGACTAAGTGTAAGTTAGAAAAGAGGCAGAAGTTGGCATGACGTAACAGATGTGAGATAGTCACTAATCTTCGCTGTTTATGCCTTTTTTTCTTATGACTCAACATGGGAATATTTCGTTCATGAAAAAATAAGTAAAAAGAAACTCTGAGGGGAAACGAACCAACCAAAAGCGCATCGCTCAACAGATATGTAGGAGAAAATGGAGATGAACTGATCGGGCATACATTGAGGAGACCATCATATGACATCGCGCGCCAGGCCATTGCTCGAGTGGAATCCAAATAGGAAGCGACGAGTGGATCGTCAGTGCGAGGGTAACATGGAGGAGATTATTTGCTGGGGAGGAGGAGATTAAAGATTATGGGAAACCGTGAAGAGGACAGCAGAAAGAAGAAGAAAGTGGAGATGTGTTATTGAAGCCCTATATTCCACTAGGAAAGTAAGGGAATAATAATAATACAGCTAAAGAGAAGAATGAATTTGCTGTAAAGAGCCTCTTCCCTGAACTCCTAGTTTTGTTGTTTTCATTAATGCCCGAATGGGGATTATTATTCATGAATTTCAAAAATAAAGTGAACTTTCGGAATTCCTTATCCAGGAAATAATCGTATTTCCTGTTGATCACCTCGACTATGACTGGTCATATTCACGGCTCCGGAGGATAAAATATTACCAAAAGAAATTAACGCCTGATTTCCTCATTTCTAGAATTCTGTCTGTCTACATACAAACTAAGAAATCTAAGTGTATCTATGGTATTCTTCTAATCCAATCTGATAATACTAATGGTTATTTTATATTTTTATATTTTACACATTATAAGAGGGGAAAACAGACGGTTCGTTCAGTAATAAACGTCATTGGTTTCTTTTTGCGTTAAATTCTGTTTTTTTTTTATTGTGAATTCTGAATGTCAGTTTTATTCTTTTGTGAAGTGTTTCTTTACATTAACAACTAACCGTTATTATTTCTATCATTATTAATATTATTATTATGCTTTGTTTATAAAGATTTCCATTGTGAAATGAATTTCTTATCATTTTTGAACTATTGTTCAATTTCTTGATGTTAGATGGTTGAAGGCAATTGGCAGGAAGCCCAGCCTTGGACCCAGGTTTCGTGCTAGTTGACACTCACCAGTCAGCAAGGCGTATCTGCAATCTTGAAGGAACTCACCTCCCTTTTGAGGTTCGAACCCGCGTCACCCAGTGTCACCTGCAGTCAGAGTTGTTACTACTGGGCTATTCGGGCTCGTGACTGACCTCCTGTAGGACTATAGTGGATACTTTGATTGGACCCTAGTAACTAGTGTGATGTGTGTAGTCCTTCCTTGTTCAGTAGTCAAAAGGTAGAATGCTCTGTAGCTGCACGGAAGGCCTGAGTTTGATTCTCCGGTGATGGGCGTATTCCGAAGCATAGCTAACAGCTTTGCTCCGCATAAAAATAACACAACTGCTACTGGAACTTCATGCCTGGAAGCTCTGTATCCCACTGAAAAACCAAGGATTGAAAAAACTAAATTCAAAAACCAAAATTATAGGAATAAATCATTTTTGATGTAATTCTAAATGTCTGACCAGCAGATACACGTAAGTCCCTTGATGAAAGTAGACACCATCAGTTTGTTACACTTTGAATGGCGTTTTGAAAAGAGAACTGTAAATAGTACTCAACAGCTGCTACTCGCATTTCCATGCATTCAGCAATGAATCACACCTATTGTGTTAATTATTATTATTATTGTTCCCTTGGGTTCCTAGTGGAACATAGGGCTTCAACTGCACGCCTCCACTTGCTTATGTCTTCTGCTGTACTTTTCACCTGCATCCATGTTAATCCATACTGTTTCAACTCCTCTTCACATGATCTCCTCCATATCACCCTTGGACGTCCCACTCGCCGCTTCCCTTTCGGGTTCCACTCGAGCACTGGCCTGACGCGCGATGTCACCCAACGGCCTCCTCAGCGAGTGTCCAATCCATCCATCTCCACTTTCTCCTGCATATTTGTTGAGCGATTGGTTCTTGTTTTGTTTCTTCCCATAGTTTCTTGTTGGTGATTCTTTCCGGCCATCTAATCTTCAGTATAGAACGAAGACAGTTGTTGATAGAGGTCTGCAACAGGCTGTTAGAAATATTCTTGGTGACCCGCCAAGTTTCTAATCCGTATAGAAGAACTGACTGACTTGACGTTTGTATTGAAAATCCGAATCATTTTGTTGTTGATGCAGGCTGAGTGACGAAGATTTCCAGATTGGTTTCAGGTTGATGAATGTGTTTCTCGCCTTCCCGATTCTCGCTCGATTTGACATCCTTGTCCGTTCCTCCTGTAGTTGAGACAATGCTGGCTCCCTAGATAAGTGAATGAAGTAACCTCTTTCAAATCCCTCCCGTTCATGGTGATTGGCGCTGGATGTTGCTGTTGTTGTTGTTGTTGTTGATTGGTTATTTTCA